TATCTACAAACTGAGCTTTAAACTGTTTTTCTACATGAATGTATGCCGACACAGTGAGGTGCTGTTTTTTATGCTTTTTTTCCCTCTCCCCATTCATTTCCTATGGGATTTTTTTTGCGACGTTTTCGCTAATAATTCGCAAACCTTCGGACTAATGAGAAAGTTTTATACAAGCATGCATCGCACCATTGGTCCCTACGCGTGTGCCAACTTTGGGCCCGATCCGACGAATGGTGCGTGACTAGTTACACGCCGAAGTTTTTAGGGGACGAGGAGAACTATAAGCTATAATAATAATACGCGGAATAAATATGTGCAATAGTAATAGGTGGGCCATGCCTTCGGCATGTGGCCCCCCTAATAATACGCGGAATAAATATGTGCAATAGTAATAGGTGGGCCATGCCTTCGGCATGTGGCCCCCCTAATAATACGCGGAATAAATATGTGCAATAGTAATAGGTGGGCCATGCCTTCGGCATGTGGCTCCCCTAATAATACGCGGAATAAATATGTGCAATAGTAATAGGTGGGCCATGCCTTCGGCATGTGGCCCCCCTAATAATACGCGGAATAAATATGTGCAATAGTAATAGGTGGGCCATGCCTTCGGCATGTGGCCCCCCTAATAATACGCGGAATAAATATGTGCAATAGTAATAGGTGGGCCATGCCTTCGGCATGTGGCCCCCCTAATTACTTTGATTAAATGTATAACTTATTGCATAATATTTATCATAATAAAATACATTTGATGTTTTGTATTAAAAGTCCATTATGGTCCTCCTGTCGCATACTGTCTGGCCCCCTCTCTCAGATGGTATCAAATTACATATTTGGGTCTATATGTTGGAAAATGACAATATTTAAAAACCAGAATTAAAGAGGCTGAAAAAGCATGTTGATATATTTAAAATGAAAAACATTTTTTTAACTAAAGATATTCTCGAGGGGCATCAACCACCCTGGTTTTAACCAATTAAAGTTTGTCCCTCCTCTGACCAACCCTTTACAACTCTGATATTTCCAAACTTAATAATACGTGACAGTGTCTTCAGAGAGTTGATGTCTGGTTTTGTTGCAGTATATTTAAGATTATGTTGTTAAAAATAAGGAACTGCTGGGTAGCTGCTTCCCTCAGCACATCTGGATCAGGTCTTGGTAGTTGACAATGAACATCGCGTCTTTTTCTAGCTAACTGTAATCTATATCTATGTCTATTATAAAATTTGCTCTTATTCTAAATTTCTAGCTTTCCCCCTTAGCAGCTGATGTGATAAATTGACATGCTTGTATATACTTAAACTATAAATAGAGTAGAGTTGGCAGCTGGCTTTACTGTAAACAGATGACTGTAAGTGTGTATGAGTTTGTGGTTCAGGTCCGTTAAATCCACTCCGCCTGTGTCTCTCATCTCTGCAGGAGTCGGAAGATCCAGATCCGGAACATTCCCCCTCATCTGCAGTGGGAGGTCAGTTGTTTTCTATCTCTGTTTATGTGTGCATGTGTGTGAGAGACAGTGATGCCCAGTTGAACAGCAACAGGCGGCACATAAACCAATTTCCTAACGATGAGTCACCGGCCTTTGTAGTCTGGTCCTAAGTGTTTGTGAGCACGTGAGTACTGTTGGGATGAACCTGCATCATTGTGTCGACATCCTTAACCTTGTAGGGGTCCGAATGTTGTTGTTCTCCATCTCTATGCCTGCAAGACTCCTATTTCTCTGCATTCAAATCTACATGCAGTTTGCAACTTACAGAGAAACTCACTTTATTGGGAATAATAACTTAACTGGCCCGAACATCTGTAGCATCCTTTCAAGTCAGTTTTTAGCAGTTACATTAAAACAGAAAAGTTGGGCTGAAAGAACTTTATGTTTTGTGCTAATAGTTGACAAAATTGATGTAGTTATGATTATTTACTTCTATTAAAAGTTTGTTTTTAGAAAAATAAAACTGTTAAATGCAGGTCAGGATTTCTGATCAGATCTGCGTTCTCATCTGGCTGCAGCATATCTGCTCAGAGATGACAATGTGTTCCCAAGCAGGTGAAAAATGGTTGCTCAATTTTGTATTTGTAAAAAGAAAAGAAAAAGCAATGACAAAAGAACTCTTTAGTACCTTTATATACCTTATTTCAGCAGACTACGGTGTGAATTATAGTTCATCTATACAGACTTAAATTAGTTCTTTAGTGGTTTAAATTTGCTTCTGTATGACTTTCTTTCTAAACGAATTTTTGATTAAACATAAACCGATCTAATCTTAATTATCAATGGAGCATTTAGACATATGTTCAACATATTGCTCACCTAATCAAAGTTATCAATTACATTCTTATTATTTGATATATAGATTAATGCAAAAATACAGAATAAACTGAACATTGTAGACATTTCATATGTTTTGCAGTTGCAGAACACTGAGAGTGTATGGAGCTGATGTGAACTGAATAATCAGCACAAGTGTCAACAAAATGTTTCATTCTATTAAGCCCCAGAAAAATAATAAGAGCCATTCTTTCAGCCCCCTGTTTTTATGGGTACACCTCTAAATGATGAAAAAATAATTTTTGCTTTGAGGTAAAATACAAAGGCCCAGGTTGTATGTTCCTGTGCCAATTATGATTTCTGCCTTTTGAAAACTCTGGCCTGCTGATATAATTTTGGCCTAATTTCTTCCCATTTTCATAGCATAACAAACTATTAAACACTGATTTTTCTACCAAAACAGAACTATAGAGTTTTAACTGTTACTGGGAATCTTAAATTTAATTTCTCCAGATTTTTGGATGAGAAAACTATACCCCCCAACCCCCTACCCAAAAAAAAAAAATTAATAAAATACAGTAAAACCAAATGAATCTCCACAATAAACTACATAATAGCTACTTTTGAATAGCCTTGAAATAAACACATGAACCAGATACTAGCAAAAACACTTTTTTCCAACCTGAAAATCAATCTTGGGATGGTTTGACGTATTAGAGTAAAAATAAATCTGTTGGCTCTCTTCATTCCACAGTTTTTCATCTACTTTGCATTTTTATGGTATTTAAACAAACTTTACCCAAAGTAAATAATGCTCCTGCATTTCTGTGCAGATAAGCTGCACCATCATTTCTAGCTTATTTGTGCTGCCAGTGCAGCATAACTTAGAAATAACATATATACCACCACATGAGCCCCTTCTATTGATTTAAATGAAGGATGCTCTAATGTTGCAGCAGTGACCTGATATTAATATAGGATCATCCCATGCTAATTTATTATTAAAATTTTTGTAGCTTGAAATGGCTAAAACAGCACCAGGACTGGATTCATTTGCTAATTAAGTTAATGTTTAATTATTTCATTTTTGTTTTCACTTGTTAACCTGAAAACTGGGCAAAGTTGGCCTTCACCTTTGGCTGTACTTAGCAGTTTGATAAGCTTAAATGAGAGTAATCAGAGTAAATTAACATGCTGTTGGTACTGAATAAGTGACTGCATATTAATTATGAGAAATTGGGGTGACAATTTGCCAAAGCAATCATTGACATAATGTATCAATGTTAAAGAGATAATTTATTAATAATTAACAAATAGGTTATTAATGTTTGGCCATCATTAGGAAACTGCATTTAAACCATTTATAGAAGATAAATAGATCATTTTACGCTGCCATGTTAGTTTAGCCTTAACGCTAACATCAGTGGACCAATGACGTGAATCTAGCCTTTATTTTTAATTTAACTTTATCTGTCATGTTGAACTTATCCTAAAATCAGTAGGCTTAATACCTTAATAGATAATCTATTTAACTTTTATAAATGGTTTAGATGTAGTTTATAAATTAATTAAACAATGGTAAATCTTTTTAACATTTAAAATAATGGTTATTGTAAAGTTTAACTGGAGAATAAGGTTCAGAGATACTTTTCAAAATAAAAGCTCTTTAAAAATTTGACTATTATAAAGGTTGTTTTACAGATCCCTAATACACTTTAAAGCCTAAAGCATTTGTGGCACCCTTAATATGGTGCAGGAGGGTATGCGTTATATAGCTCGCATCTCTAGTTTTACTCTTAGTTTCCTTTGAAAGTTGCTCTAAATCAACTTGTGCTGCAACATAAGTCTGTTCTGTTTCAGGTTTGTATTTATGTCTCTGACCTGAACTTTGGTGTCTCTCCTTAGGTTTTGGATGGCCTTCTTGCTCAGTATGGTACTGTAGAGAACGTGGAACAAGGTACAGAACCCTCCTCCTAGATCCTCACATGTCATATTTAGTTCATCCTTCTCCAACTGTTTGATACATGTGTGTCTTTTTAGCAAAACTTCAAACACCCAGACCTCCCAGTGAGTCACGACCCCCTGTGTGACTCCGCTTCCTCATTATCATTACCACACATCCATTATCTAAACATGCTGTTTCTGCATATAAATCAGTCTTTATCATCTTGTCTGTCTCTGTGTGTTAGAGTTTGACCCAGAGCCAGGATAGTGTGAGGCTCTAAATAAGAAAGGTCTGCCCCCCTGGGCCTGTTAGACTCAGTGTACGGATTGAAGTGGGCAGACGAGGCGGAAATCCCGGAATAATGCGCCTGTGTCTTTGAGTTTTGGGATGCGGCGTTGTGGCACAGGAGGCGCCTGTGGTGAAGCTTCTGAACTCTGATGTTGTGTGTTGATAATTTTTCTCTCTGTACATAGATCCATGAGCAGACATGAGATGGGGGTGGGGGGGTAGACACAAAAAAATGCAAGCTTGGAAAAAAAAAAAATCTTGGCACATATTTGCTGAAGGATTCTCTGTTTTCAAACAGCCAAGATGAGCTGCCGCCCACTGTTGTGATGACAGGTGCTAAAAGGCAACCCAGCAGAGAAATTATTTTACGCTTAAAGTTTTGAAAACAGTTTGCTCCAATCTCTACACGACACCAAGGGAATTTCCTCCTCTGTTTGGCACTTCAGACATCACCGGTTACTATGAATAACCCGTCTGAGCCACCTCGTCTTCTTATTGTTCCATTTTTCCTGCATAATGCCACTTCTTCCTGCTTCAGTTCCTGCACTCTGGTTACAGTTTTCTGGAACAGTCCCATATGTGCGTAGTAGCGGGACAGAGCTGGCTGTGAGAGCAAGCTTAGTGCCAAGCTCTGTCTTTGTTTCCTCTCTCTCTCTCAGGTGGGCATTTAACCTATCCAGAGTCAAATTTGACCAACTCACAATGTTCCCCCCTTTTATGATGTTGGCTCTTTGCTGTCCTTATTTTCATGTGCTTTGGTAATTGGCCTTACAATTACGTCTGTTTGAGGGGATCATTTAAGCACTGAGGGGATTTGTCAGCATGACCTGGTAGCTGTTGTTTTTACTAATCAGAATATTGGCTGGTTGGATTTGTTTTGGCGCTGGTTGGTTCTGGTCAAGCTGAAAATTCGGCAGGTGCATTTCTAAAAAAAGAAAAAAACTCTAATGTTACAAAAGACAGATTATTGTTACCTCACAACATAACAAAATATTTTAAAAATGTTTTAAAGTGCTGCACTACTCAAGAGCTTTCAATCATCCCTGATTGTTTATCGCATACAGACTTCGTAAGACTCTTTTTATCTTTTAATATGATCAAATCAATAATTCTTAAGAGTTTTTGAAGGTGGATGGACTTTTATTCCACTATTTCCACTATTTTTATTCCACTATTTTACTTTTGTTCTATTTACTGTTTTAGATGTAGTATATGTTCAGGAATAATAAGTCTGCTAAATTCAGGTGAAGAACCAGTTTTGTTTCAGCACATTGCTGACAATTGAACACATAAGTTTTAAACTGTTTTTTTTTGCCCTCTATTGCAAAGGTCAGGAAAGAAAAAAAAGAAAAAAAACACAGAAAACTGTGAATTTTTTAGTTAATTTAAAAAAATACCAATGGTGATTTGTTTTGCTGGGATAGGAAAAAAACATTTCTCGATTAGAAAGGTGGTTTCAAGACAGCTTCAGATTTCTTTACCATCCTTGAGTTCAGGTTATCTGAACAGTTAGATTATTGCTTTGATTTTAATTCAATTCAAATGCATTTTTAAAATCCGTTATTAATCCCAAAGGGAAACTAAATGTAGAAAATAAATACATGCTTGCAGGTTTAGATTATTAGCTGTTGTCTTGTAGCCCTTTTCCCTAATTATGAAAATCAAGACAGACCTCCTGTACCTGCTCTGCATGCATTTTTGTCTTTTATGGTTTGAAATTTATTAATTATATTATTCAGATCCAGCGGTAAAGTAAAAAACTGGATTCCAATTCAAGAGATGTATTTATCTGTTGTCTGCCTTAGAGGATTTATTTTGTAAACTGTCGGAATTATATAAAGCAATTATATAAAGGATAGTACAATTTTATAACGTATTGTAGATTTTAATAAATTCATGAAAAAAAGAACCATTTTTTGAAAAAAATTTCCTGTATTGTCAATTAAGCAAATATGGAAGCAAATATGATGCATATAGAAATAGCTTTGAAAACTCTTTGTTCTCTTGTCTTTCCTTTCTCCGAGACTGGCTAAGATATATAGATCATATTGTTCAGCGGAAACTAAGTCTATGATGCTTTAATAAAAGTTCCAATGCTAGACTATGACCAACCTAAAACTTTAAAGTATGAATAGTTTCAGCTTCCTTGTATTTAAATAAACTTTTAGCAGTGCCACTAATTTTTTTTCTTATTTGGAATTAATTTAAACTGTTTAAATTAGTCCACTTAAGAGCTGGATTTAGTAACAGAAGATTAAGCTTCTGTTACTACAAGATGAATTTAATTTCAGCCATGTGGTCAATATAGGAAGGTGCTTTACTGTTGCTTTATTATATTTTTTGTTTTGACCAAGTTGTCTTTATTTTATATGAGAACTGCAGAATATTATTGAATGATTGGGTTTTAGGGCTGCTCAAGAAAAGAAAACAGCCGAAGGCAAGCCTTACTTTAAATAAGAAGTAAAATAAGTGTGGGAAACTTTGACAGAGCCTATTTTAAATTAATAGATGCCCAATATACCAGGGGCTATCACATATTTTAGCTGCAGATTTAATAGTTAAGCTTTAAACTCAGATTTTTGTCCCTCTTGAAGCAATTTTCATAATCAGCTCATCACCCAGACTGATCACCTGATTAAGGTGATGGTGTTGTTTGTCGCTGCATGTAAGGGATTCTCTAATTAGTGCCTCTCTCTGCATCAGACCTTGCGTTATCTCAGTGAGATTCACTCTGTGCTGCTCCGTCTTTACAGACAAATGCTCGACCACCTATGTACACCAAGGTGTGTCTCTATTGTGCTCTTCATTTGCTTTAATCGGCCATTATTTGCTTTGTTCAGGCTGTTATGTTGGACTCAGATCCGTTTTGGTGAAAGTGACAGCGAGGCCTTTGTGTTAAGCAGCTTCGTTCTGTAGTGGAAGCAGCAGGGTTTGGAGAGAAGCCAGCATGGTGATGGCTGTAATGGATTCACACAGACAAGCAGCTTTCTGGGTCGCCACGGGAACCTGGACGCGTGTCCGACTCACCTACAGAAACAACAAAGGCCTGATATGTGCATGTGTACTCCTTTGTTTATTGTATCTCATGTTTTTTCCTCTCTCTCTTTTCTTGTCTTGTCCCACAGTGAACACTGACACAGAAACAGCAGTGGTGAATGTTACATACGCAACTAAGGAGGAAGCTAAAGTGTAAGGAGCTCGAATAATGTACTATATGAGCCAAGCACCATGTGTAACACTGATGTACAGACACAAGACACAACTTATAGAAACACTTCTTGTGTCTAACCTGTCAACAAAAGCTGGGGACACACTACATTTTTCACAGTCTTTATAAATAGTATAAATTATTGCTAACAGACTTTGTTTCCATTTCACGACTAAAAATCAAGCTTAACAGATCAAATGAGATCAAGCTAGCAGAATGTATCCAGATCTTAAAAAAATGTGAACATTTTTGTTTGACTGTGGCGAATGAACAGATCCAGTCATTTCCTACGTCAGAGCAGACCTTTCCCAATGGGAAGTTGATGGATAGTTGGCATATCAATCCATCCGTCCATCCATCCATCCATCCATCCATCCATCCATCATACATCCATCATCCATACATACATACATCCATACATACATACATACATACATACATACATACATACATACATACATACATACATACATACATACATACATACATACATACATACATACATACATACATACATACATACATACATACATACATACATACATACATACATACATTCATACATGCATCCACCAACCCACAATATTCAAAGTAGAAAAATAATTTTCCCTTAAAAAACTGTTAAAACAAAATAAAAAATGACTGAAATGAAAATAGTCACATAATTTTGATGTATGTATTATAATATATAATGAGAACAACATTTCTTAGGTGTTTTTATGCGTAATATTAACTTAAATTCAGTAAGTCTACAGAAATCACTTTAGTTAATTATTGTTTATTTTCTATTTTAAGCGTTGTCATTCAGAATGTGCACAGAGGTACAAACTATATTTTTTTGGAGTGACTGGAATAAGTTGTGATTTAAATACCTTAGCATAATTTGTAAAAACAGTCTCTCTAAGACCTCTGTGCAACTGTATGCATATTTTCCACAAGAAGAAGTTTCTTTAAGCTTTCTAAACAGAAAGCTTTCAACATTTTTCTAATCTATCACAAAATGTGATGAGAGATCATGGGTTGCTTTTGCCTATATTAGTGTTTATATCTATTTATTATTATAAAGTTCAAATCGTATTTTGATTTCAAAGCATGGGCAGATTGCAGGAAAATTAAGTGGAATTATTTCAGTGTCTAAATGTGTGTAGGTAGGTTTTTATTTTGAACAGCTAAACTTCAAGTTTGTGTTAGCTGCATGCCATGATCATATCAGTAATAAATGCTTAGTTTATATTACTCATTATTTAGTTACACTTTATACAATTGTATTTTTTTTCTTTTTTTAAGTAGAATACCTTAAAATTACAAATGTTGTTAGTTTTCCAAATTACTTTAAACTGTAATAACATTTGAGTGTTTCCTCTCTGTTTCCGGCTCTTACTTAGTCTCCTTCTCTGCATCTCCTCAGTGCCATCGAGAAGCTGACAGGACACCAGTTTGACGACTACTCCCTAAAGGTGTCGTACATCATGGACATGGATGCTGCCTCGCCTGTCCAGGCTCCACGAACGCGGCGTGGAGGGCGATCCTCCCGGGACCAGGGCACCCCTCAGCCTGGACCGTCGGGAGGCTTTGGGTCGCCCCGTCTCAGACAGCCGGACTTCCCCCTGCGGATGCTTGTGCCTACTCAGTTTGTGGGAGCCATCATTGGCAAAGAGGGCCTGACCATCAAGAATGTCACCAAACAAACCCAGTCCAAGTAAGATTTTGAAATCAGTTGAAAGGCTTACGTTGTCAATTGAAATCATTTGAAATGTGTGTAATCTCTGCATCTTTCTATCAGGGTGGACATCCACCGGAAGGAAAACGCAGGCGCAGCTGAAAAACCCATCACCATCCATTCAACACCCGAGGGGTGCTCCTCTGCCTGCCAGATGATCCTGGACATCATGCACAAGGAGGCGAACGAGACCAAGACGTAAGCCTGTAAAAAACAAGCACATGTAGCGACTTGCCATAAAGCTATATACCTGTCAGCAGGTTGAACGCATATGCAACCCAACATGGAGATTAAGCATCATGTCTGCAGGGCTGTAATCCCATCCTTTAACGTAAGCCTGCAGACTTTTTAATCTCATTGTGCTCTCCTTTCTGGCCTGGACCACTAACACAGTAAGCATTGCCACCTAGCGAGCACGTGATCTCAGCTTAGTGTCCAAGAAATCTAATTGGGTTTGACACTTTTTACAGGAAGCTGCACCTTTTTACGGCTCTTTGAGCTTCTTGGTGTAAACAGCAACCTTTATTTTTAGCATTTGTCCGCTTTTATGTGTGAGCATGTAAACGTTTTAGAGAATGCTAGTTTTATTTATTTTTTTTTTTATTACATTTGTTTTTTTTTTCATTTGGGAGAAGGATAGAAGCATTTGAAGGAAGCACATTTAAATGCATCTAATTTTATATGTTAGAACTGTCTTGCTCTGGTTTTCGGATGAAGTTTTGGGTTTTTGCAGGTCATTTAGGTATAAGCTGCCATATATAGATTTAAAAAAAAAAACTTAAAGCAAAACAACTAAAGGGACTGGAGTTGCATTCTGCCTTTATAGTTATAACTTATAATAAATATATTATTATTGTTCTAGGCAGTGGCTGTTTAGGTCTCGCGTATCTGTGATGGTATCACAGCTTCACTGTTATGTCATATTTATATTTCTGTGGCTTTATTGATCACTGCACTCATTGTTTTAAGATTCATTTTAGATGTCTAATTTTCCTGAATCCAAACTTAAAAAGTTTATTTCATGTGTTGCTAACACTTTATGCACATCTATTTTTCATTTATTTTTTTCATGCTTGTTCATTAGAAGCTTCAAACCATAATTCAAAGTTAATATTCTACTAAATTAATCTACTAATTTGTGCTGGCACACAATAATAATAATATCTATGTTTTATTTAGTTTTTCTGACAAATCATTCACCTGTTGGTCAGTAACAATAGCATCTATATTACACATTAAGCTGTTACACTTCCTAAATCCTTTAAATAATATCCCAGATTAATTCAGTTTATGTTATTAACCGATGTTACCACCACGTGAATTGACCACATTCCTGTTTCCATAGAGACAGCCAAATGGAAAGAATTTTCAGTTGTTTAATGAGGGGGGGAATGACCCACTCTGTAACTATAAATGTAATTCGACATCATTTTTTCTTCCCAAAACATCTGCAAATAAATGCACACAAATCGATATCGCAAAATGTTTCTTCTATATTTCAGTCTCATCCTATCAATACACCAAGTGTCCAGCCTTTCATTCTTTTCCTTTTTTGATTTGATGTTTCAATCATTTGGCTTCCATGGAAACAATGAAATGTTAATTTCATTGTTTTTAGGTGGGAAAAATAAACCGTCCGTTCTGCCCATATGCATCCTTTTAGAAAATACATGATAAGATGAACTATAAGTGGGAAATCATGAATTATGAAATACTTGCTAAGATGTAAAGAAGTTACAGAGATTTAAATACATGGTGATAAATAATTATCAAGATAAAAGACAAGCAAGTTTATGTTACATTATAGTAAAAAGACAATTAAGAGTGCTGCACATGAGCAAAACAAGAGGAAAATACAAAGAGGAAAGTGCAATGCAGCTGCTTAATAGGAGAAAAAAAATGCTAAAACTGATATTTGAAGGTAACAGATTGAAAGATAAAAATTAAGAATTAAAATAAATCCCTTTATTGACCCACAATGGGGACATTCTGGTGGGACAAGGAATGGATTTTCTATTCTATTCTAATTAAATCATTTTAATTATTAATGTTTATTGTATAAAATGAACAGTAAGATTATTAGTCACAAAATAATTACTCACATACGCTACGCTAGATAACAGATTTAATTGAATAATGTTTAGACAGCACAATCAAAGCCTCCCAAAAATATATATATATATTTTAATCTCAATTGGCAGCAACAGTGGGTTTCAGTGCTTTTTCTGTTTTTAGAGAGTTTTAGTCTTTTAATAATTTTATCTTACTTTTTTCAATCATGTATCTTCTTTATATATATATATTCCTCTTATTTTATTTTGTCACTTTTATTTTATTTAAATATTTGTCTTGCCTCTATGCCACTGACATATATATATGTTTATTTTTTTGTTTTGTTTCTCATTTACAGCAGTTTCATATTGTTGGCAACTGAAATTTGCTATATAAAAAACTTGCCTTGCTTCGCCTTCTATGCATTTACCCAAGGCTTAAATGATTCATAGTCGCCTTGAAATATAGTGTGTGAGAAAAAAAGAAAAAACAACTCCTATTTTGAAAATATATCTATGAACATTTTTTTTACAACCTTTTGTTACCTTTATGTATTTCTACATGTTTTCAATAGAATAATATATATTTTTGGTAATTATAAAAGATTGCTTTAAGACAGTTTTGTTATTATTCTATGTAAAATGAAAGTAAAGGAGTGTTAGTGTTTCAGTTGGTGTAATCTACCTCAATCAGTCAAGCACTAATTCTTCCTTCAAAAATGACAATAACGCCCACAGCTTCAAGATGTGTCAACAAAGCGACACCGCGCTGCCTCGCCTAGTGCCACACCTGCAGTAATAAAACCGGTTGCCAGTGCCGCCCTCCACCCTGTCACTCCACTCAGCCTGAACCCACTGAAACTCAAACCACAAGACCCACACATTTGCCGTACCCTCTCAATACACCCCTAACTAAAGACACTATGCAACACAGATCTGTATTTACAGATTGCAGCCCCTAAAAACACACTTCAGGTCCAGCCCTGAAGAAACCCCCAGCATCTGGCCAGCCTCCACCACACCCCACCACATCCCCTGATATAGATTCACACCCTGTAATTGCCACACAAAGCAGTAATGTAGATAATGCAGGAGTTTTTCTTCTTCCAGTAAATGATCATAATCGTACCATCTGCTCCCAACAGGCCCACAGAGGCAGATGTTGTAAATCAAACAGCTTTAAATATTACTTCAGCCCCGACTTTTGCTATCTTTTTATATGGTTGCATCATTTAGTCAAATATGTCTTTGACTTTAAACATATTAATGCACAATAGGTAAACATTATTTGTAAGTCAATCTTATCTGTATCAAGCCAACAGAAAATGTGACTCACCTTACATTACTTTCAACATACACAACACAGAAAATCTATTATGCACCTTAATACGTCTTGTAGAACCACTATCCTCGGAAAGCTTTTAGACAAACATGAATCATCGAATTCTGGGTATTATTTTTCTTTCTAACATTGATGTTCTTTCTTTAGTTTGGATTTGGAAGTAGTCTCTTTTTAGCATGCAATTTTTGTTTTGTTTCTCCTCATGTCATGAATAAGTACATAAAACAACCAATTTCGACTCATGATTAAAGAGTATTGAATGGTTTATATGATGTAAAATCTGCAGGGTCTTATATCAATTCATCAATTCATCTGCAGAAGCAAAAGCATTTTTAGGCAAAGTGCAGAATCATTATCCCAGCTGAACTATCTTCCAATGGATCTTGTTTGTTCTAAACTTTTGAACCCAAAGGAAATCTTACAAGAATCAAATCAAAACAAAAACCAAGTGAAGAAAACAGTACTTCCAGCTACTTCTCTGCATCTATATGATATAAAAGTGTTTTTTTCTGGTCTATATGTACTAAAAGCTCTGGTTTCTTATGCAAGGTGAGACTCTTGGCTCCCCCCCCCTAGCTTTAGCTGACGTGGGCTGAATGTGGCCTTGGGGCCATTTGCTACCAGGGTAATGATTCTGTGCAATCCTGAACAGCTGCACAACTACAATGCACATAAAAACTTTCTTTTTATATATTTTTTATCCTTATTTAGATTTTTATTTATCCACAACTTCTAAATGGAGATAATAAATTTTAACCTATTTCAATAGATCTTAAGTACGATACAAAGAAGCCGTTTCCCATCAATCAAATGTATTGCTTTAACTATATATATCCGTTTACTCAACCTGCATTATTAATGGGAAACAAGCTTATTTCTAATCTAGTAGATAAAAAAACACTCTTTAACTTTTTAATACATTAATACACTTTTTAATACATCTAAGACTTTTTTAGGTCTACAATGAATAACAGATCTATTTTACAGAAACATTTGTGGTCCATAGGTATACTGTACACCAAATAAAACTACATAATCATTTAAAAGAGTGGATGTTAAACGGATAAAATTCTCATCTCTAGTTCTATTTTTTATAATATTTAGAAAAAAAAACTGATATTTCCTCCTAGCACAGTAGTTTCAATAAAAAACAAATTGTATTACTGTTGTTTTGCAGAAACTTGTTTGCAACCTATGTATCTATCAACATAAAGAGATAAATCATTTAGCTTCCGTATCAAAGTCTTGTGCTTAGAGAAGCATTTGCTATGAGGCAGCTGTCCGCATTCCAGCTCATCCCTGTCATTCCAACGACATTCCTTACACCCTAAGTGAGGTGAGAGCGACACTCAGTGGAGTCAGTCTTCTGTCATCCCATCTAAATTTTTTATGTTTCTGCGTGTCTTTAGGACGGAGGAAATCCCTCTGAAAATCCTTGCCCATAACAGCCTGGTGGGTCGGCTGATTGGGAAGGAGGGCCGCAACCTGAAGAAGATCGAGGAGGAGACAGGGACCAAGATAACCATCTCCTCGTAAGTTTGTCATCAGTCATTTACATAAGGGGCGTAGCTTTCTAAATGATGGAACAACTACATAGGATTTAGTTTAATGATTAAAAAAATAGAAACAAAGGGTTCAGCCATTGTTTTTGCTCATTAAAATATTTTTTTTAAATAAAACAATCCAAAAACAATCACATTTTCCATACTTAATCAGGCCTGGAAAATATTCCAGCCATATCCCAAACCTTTCCAGACTTTTCAAAACTTTTCCAGACTCTATAATAACAATGTTATTGTTCCCATTGATCAGATGAACCAGCTCGTTATTTACCACCCCCTACCTTTGGTCCAGAACAAGTAATATCAGAATATCAACATTCATTTTCCAGTTTTCCTCCACCCTAATTGGTAAATATTAGTATCAGTCAGCTGAGGAGATAAATGTATATGCATTCAACCACAGACTGGAAGAATAAAGTAACTGAGGCTGTATGAACCATTGTGAAAGTCTTGCATCATCGCTCCATCTGCAAACACTTTGCATGATGAGGCCTTTCCAGTGGAAAACATCCATACTGTTCATAGTATAAAATCTATGCTGGATTCAGACCTGATCGATAAGCAGCAGGGACCCAGGCCTGTTTCTGCTCATCCAGGTGTGTGAAGATCTAAAGAAATCTACCTGTAGATTTGAGGCCCAGTCACTCTCTGTATCAGTGGAATGACGGTGAATATCGCCCACTCTTAACCTGGTTATACGATGTACACAATTTGCATCAGACATCCAAGCTCCCCATTTAAAAGTGAGGCTCCCATCCTACTTGGCTTAACCGCAATCACTTAGCAAAACAGCAGCAGATATATTCCCAATGCTTATGCGTAACAATATTTAGACTGCTCTATTACTGCTTTGTTACAGTATGTTCTGCTTCATGCAGCCACACCCTCCTTCCTGTACGTTCATCTTTTTAGTTTCACCTACTGTAACTGAGCTGCTGAAAGTGAAACTATGTGGAGATGATTAAGACTCCAGGACATGATGTCAGTGAGGAGGAGATTACATCCCATTCGGCAGAGCTTGCTCAACCGGATTTTTTTTTCTGTTTAGAGAAACCAGCAAACTGGTGAAATATCCTCTGTTGTACTGAAGAAAAATGGATAGAAAAGTATAAACTGCAGGGTTATACCCAGGTGAATTGTTTTGTAGGGAGAGAACTTTAGTTATTGATTTCAAATTGTGCAAAGACTCACATTTTATTGACAGTTGAATGGTCTGTGTTTGTGCTATAAAGGCGTCTGTCAAAGTGAGCATTGATTTTGTCGAATGAGTGAAAGTTTTCATTGCTCTAACCTCTTTTATGAGGTATTTCGTCTTTAAGCAGCGTGCGGCTGTGCTGCAGTTCTCAGGCTGACCTGGCTTCACTCGTTTCGCACAATGTTTTCCAGAAAGGTTGCTCTATTCATCCTACACTCCTGAGAAGGGACAGGGAAATGTCTTCAATATCAAAAAAATATCCTGCTATGTCACTTATTTTATCTCAGTTATGTCTTGTGTCCTGCAAACTGCATAAGTGCCAGCTTAATTGTAGGGACAGCATTCGTACAAACAACGAGGTCTAAATGGGTCTGGCAAGGGTCCTTACTAAAATAGTTAACCTTTTTATGTTTTATCAGTAGACAATAATGAACTTTAACACATTTTATCATCTGATAAATATCCCAGAGTGGTGAATTTTTTTTCCCCCCAACTTTTATTGTCATAACACTGTCACAAGTACAGAGCAATGAACTCTCTGCATTTAACCCATCCCCTTGGGAGCAGTGGGCTGCCATTGTTCGGCGCCCGGGTAGCAGTGTGGAGTTAAGGGTCTTTGCTCAGCAAGCCAGAGTGGCAGTCTGTGGGAGTGGGGCTTGAACTCACCCATGATGGGGGACTTACCACTTGAGCTAGTCAGCTGAATGTCTGTAAAGTGGAGGAAAAATAATACCAGCTTAAAAAACACAAAAAAAAAATAAAATAAAATAAACTGTCTAAATCCATTCAGGACTTACAAGGATTTTTTTGACCAGTCTTCTTTGCAAAACAGTTCAATCTGACTGGATAAAAAATGTCTGCAGATGTCAGATTTTCTTAATGCTTCGCTGCAGCATAAAGCTGCCACCGCTATGCTTGAATGTGGGGTTGGACTGTTGTTTAATTTTTTTGTTAGACATACATTTTAATCCTTCTTAATTTTTTTAATTTGTGCAGTGCATTCCTCGAATTACTTCAGGTTTTATTCCCCCACCGGAGCTGTTATTCCCTGCAGCTCCTCCTTGCATTTTTGTGTTAAACTGTCCTATCAGTGGGATGTTTGACTCCCAGATATTGAAAATCCAAACTCATTCTCCATGATGCTGAATGTTCTCTTGCAAACCCCTGAGACCCTCACATTTATGCATTCAAACTGAGGTTAAATGACACATGGGTCACACTTATTAATGAGGTTGATTTAGCAAGCAATTGTATTCTTTTTTTTTTTTTTTAGCTGTGTCAAAGTTAAAGGGTATAAGTACAAGTGCACATCAAATTCTAAATTTCTGTTTATAAAAGTAATTGAAAACCATGTATTTTTTAATTTTAATATCCTACCTTGCAACCATTAATATCACTGTGTTGGTCTGACACATAAAATATCCGTGGATTACATCCAGTCTGTGGTTGTCATGTTACAAAAAGGCAAAAACTGCATGGGTGCTTTTGCAAGTCACTGTTTTAGTCACTAATATCATTTAAATGTCTACAAAAACACCCCACCTTAACATGTAGCCTTAATTGAGTTGATTCCAATTGTATTTTAAAGGAAATCTCTTTAAATATCTGAGTTTTGAGGAACTGTACACATACAATCAGGAACCCTGGAGCTATTTAGAGTATTTCTGTATTCTTCCTATTGATTGTGTGTGCCCTCTCCGTTTCAGGTTACAAGACTTAACTATTTACAACCCTGAGAGGACCATCACAGTGAAGGGAAGCTTGGAGGCTTGTTGTAAAGCCGAGGTGGAGATCATGAATAAGCTGAGGGAAGCCTACGAGAACGATCTTGCTGCTATAAACGTAAGCCCAACACTTACCATTTGCAGCCCCTTTGTGCTGTTTCTGTGTTGCCCTTGTGGTGATTATGACTGTCGGATGACTCACACAGACTGACAGGTGAGAGGTGAAGGAGATCGGGGGGGGTTTGACCACAGGATGATATTAGCTTCCCCTGTTGTGCGTTACCGCCAGCATTAGTAAGGCCTGCTCTGTAAACAGATAACAGTAAACGATCGCTGAATAGCTCATTAAGCGTGTTGAGTATTTGAGCGCAGCTTGTCTCCGTGTCTCTGACTCACACTCCCTTCCCTGCTGTGTGTGTCTGTGTTCCTGTTGTAACACACCGCGTTTCCCAGCATCCATCCGATATCTGCAGGCCGCTATCTCAACCCGGCTCCTCTTTCACACCGGCCTGTGACATCAGCAGCCGCTGAGGTCAAGCCTCAGACGAAGAGAAGCAGCGGGGATGTCACGCACTGCATCCTCTCTGTTTCCGGGCTGATGGGAATGGATGGACATCAATGATGCTCATTATGACCAACGGCTCCAAAGCCAAGGAGAGGCACTGGAGATCTTTAGGCTAATATATGAGGTCCGTTAGTCCAACTGCTTCTCTGTTACCATGTTTGCTTTACTCTTTAAATTATTATGAGGAAGTTTCACTCAGCATGCAGCTGAATGGCTCTGGCTTGCTTTAGTTGCCGTGGCAGCTGACAGGTTGAGCTGTGTGTGGGGAGTGCCACCTAGCGGTTACCTTTGACTATTACAAATAAGATCCAGCGGAGTATTCAGAAAGGAAAGACGACAGAGAAAACTGGAGGATCCATCCATCCATCCATCCATCCATCCATCCATCCATCCATCCATCCATCCATCCATCCATCCATCCATCCATCCATCCATCCATCTCAGTATTGGGTCCAATTTCCAGATGGTAGAATTGAGAGAAATGGCTGCTTTGTGCCAATTAGCCTTTCAGAAGGTTGCTATCTAGGTTTTTTTTAAGATAACTTAAATAAATTAGTAACATTTTAATTTGAAGACAACTTTAACGTATAACAATTGTTTTATATTTAGCAATGAAAAAAAATAATCTCCTACCGAAACAGCAAAGGTTTGATTTAATATTAAATAGAGAGGAAAAAGTTGTGTCCTTTCGTACAAAAGTAAACTGGTGCCATTTGATCTTCGATGACATGCTCCTCTACTGCACCTTTAACCATTTATAGGGTAAATTGCCATTTTTGATTACTTGCATACCCCTTATGAATGGAGTCCCCCCCCCAGCCCTCAGTGAGTTCTAAAAGCATAAGACTTTTATCTAGCCATTAAGCAAAGATGCTGCTACATGTCTGTACATGTTAATTTGGCATTTGACCAATTAAATGAGTCCTTGATGATATATTACCTACAGTAAATTCAATTTGTAAGAAGTTGAGAAAAAAAAAGATAAAAAGCTAATTGAACAGTTCAAAAATAAAGTAAAAAGGTAATTGAGTTAATTTTAAAAAGTAAAAAAATGCAATTGCCTGTATCAGCATTAATGCTCTAAGGTTATGTTGTAACAAAAACAAAAGTTGTTTCTTTCACTCTGTGACTATTTTTCATGATTTTAATATAGAAGCACTTTGGTTATTTTTCTTAATATATTAGGGGAAGGGGCCATTTTTTGTTATTACATTGACCTTCATTTCTGCCATCAAAATATACATGTTTTTTTAATTTCTCAAAAGTAATAAGGTCCTGTCCTTCAATAACACTTTTGGCTTTAAATGTTGAATTTCAAAGTATTTCAATAAGTGCCCCATAAAGGGTTAAAGACAGCTGAATGCACAGCGCTGTTTGCACAGTAACTTTGAAGCTAGAAGATCATAGGTTTAAATTCATCTGGGACCCGTCTGTATTTTGAGTATTCTTCCTGTGTGTGAATGAGTTTTCTTTTGGTACTACAGCTTCCTGTACCAGCCTTAAACAGAATTGTTGGGTTAATCAGTATCATGGTCTCATCCCTTTTTATTATCTTATTAAAGGAATAAGATAATTTAAATAATCAGACCCTCATAATTCTTCATTTACAGCAACAAGCCAACTTGATCCCAGGCTTAAACCTGAACGCTCTGGGCATCTTCTCCTCTGGTCTGCCGGTGGTGCCTGCTGCTGCCGGACCACGTGGTGCAGTGTCCCCTGTAGCATCAGCAGGATACAACCCCTTCTTAGTAAGTCCTCTCTTTACCTATTTTGTTTACTTCCATAAATGCCGTATTTAAGGAAAAATCCTTAAATACCTTTTTGGATTGGTTTCCTCTGTGTTTGTTAGACATTGTAAATCATCTTCCCCTAGAAGTGCCTTCAGGCGGCACTACACTGTTGACTCAGGTCCTCCTGAATGATGTAGATTGAAACAAGCAGAATTCCCCATCTTATGTGGAAATGAGTCAGTTTGTCTGTGAAACAAGGTCTCCACTCATTTCCCAGTGTAAGTGGTGTGAGACACTGTGCTAGAATGCACAAGCGTGCTTCACGGTCAAAACGATAGGCGTGTGATTCACCGTGAGTGTGAGCCCTGAAATCCCCTCAAGAGTGAACACAGTTTATGTTTGTGTTAACATGCAGTCTGACGGGCCTGTTTATCCCTTTCAGAGTCACTCTCCACATCTCAGTGGCCTGTACGGGGTTCCTCCAGCAAGTGCCATGCCCCACCAGCACTCAGTAGGTTCCCTCTCCTCTTGCAGCTTCAGCCATTGCTGTAAAGTTTAATCACTGTTTGGTATCATATTACAAAATATATGCAACAGAGATACAGTCGATAGTAAAAGAGTTTTAGCAGCTAAACAAAGATCTTTTGAACCTTGAGTATTCAACCATCGGTTTATGACGTTAAGCTCAAACCCATTTGGGAAGGCCCAACTCTGAATGGATGTTAAAACAAACAAAAACCCTAAATAAAGGATTTTAACGTGATATAGTTACTGACATTCGGCCAAGATGCTGCAGCGTAACCTTAAACAGACTGTCCATTGTTAAAACCCTCTACTGTGTCTAAATTTAAACAATTCAACAAATTTCAAAAATTCCCTACAGGTTGCTATTAGTTTTTTTCCCTCTAAAAATATATTAATAAGGATTTTAAAACAGTTTTCTTGTTTTTTCTTTTTTATGTTATATATATTTTATTGACCCTTTTAAAAGAAAACAATTACAACATTAACTTAACTGGGTATACTTCATTGTTAATTACTTTGCTTGTAGAGTGTCCATTATTTTCATTTCTTTTCCAATTGTGGTCCTTGTAGCCTCAGTCTGAATGTTTGTTTATCTTTTAGGAATATGTCTTCTATTGTAGTTATTTATCCATTGCTGATTTGATGATACAGTAACCTTCCCCCATTTCCTTGTGATAATTTTTGTTGCTGCTACCAACATTATTTTGACCAAATATTCATCAGATGAATATGACAATGAAATGGGGGAAGATGAATAAAACCATCACAAAAATTAGACAAATACAGAACTTTAGGCTTTAAAGGAATTGCATATCCCAAAACTTGGCACATGACAACAAAAGTATTTCGGGCATTTTCAAAAAAATGTGTGAATGATCAGCATCTGTTTCTCCACGTTCTCTCCAGCACTTCTGTTGCTTCTGCAATTGTTTGCTTTTTAACTTTGGTGTAATAAAGAATCTTAGAAGATTTTTCCAGGCAAACTCTCTCCATGTCTGAACTGGTAGTCATATGATGGAATTTCCACATTTCTAACCAATCCAAATACCGTAATCAATTTCAATATTAAATTCCTTTTCCTATTTTAATTTCACTTTTTCGGTTGTGTGTTTATCCTTGTTTATCAATTGCTTTATATAATGCAAAGATTGTTTTGTCTTTAACGGTCATATTAATCATCTTTTCTCCGATTTGATAATTTAACAAAATGGGTGATTACTAGAAAACTAGTTTTAGACCTCTTTATTACCTGTTTCTCTAATTCCTTGCTCAGTTTACTTTCAGGCTTTATATTACCAAAACAGATTATTGATTTAGGGGATTATTGAGTGACCATTCTAAAGGTCTTTTAAAGCTGATTAGTTGTTTTTTTTATGCATGGGTTGTAAATAAGCATGTAAGTATGTGTTGATGGAGGTCAGATAAATATTAAACTGGATCTTTCAGTGTTTCATTACCGCAATTATTTTTACCAAGACATTAAAATTACTTCCATTAAACTTTGGAGAAGAAAAAAATTATAATTCTAGGAAAATAGTACTGGAAAGCAGGAAGGCAATTCTTAAGGAGCTGCAGCCGGCATAATAAAGCAAACGACCTGAAGGATGATGCCTGTCTAATATCTGGTACCAGAGGTTTGCTGACTGCTTTTCCAGCAATTAAAAACCTCCTATTCAGACCTCTGCCTTCCCTGTATATACAAAGAAGGAATAGAAAATAGCTAAAAGCTAAAAGGAACTGTTAGATAAATTTGAGATATTAATTGCTTCCTTTTAAGGAAATTCTGTATATTTAAGAGATGTAAATAATAGGCCATTGCAGCTTCTTATTGAGGTAGAGACGATGGTTTCTGCTGTTTCTCATCACCTAGTCAACTGAACACCAGAGATTATTTTGTTTGCAGCACAAAGTTATACAGTAGTTTTACAAAATTCACTTTTAAAACCTCACTAAATAATAATAATGAGTTCCTTCTAATTTTTTGTGCTATTTTTTTAAAGTTTTTCTGTTTTACTGGTCCCTTTCTCTTTGGTTCAGCAACAGGCTCCAGAACAGGAGGTCGTCTACCTCTTTATTCCCACTCAGGCAGTGGGGGCCCTGATAGGCAAGAAGGGCCAGCACATCAAACAACTAGCCCACTTTGCAGGAGCTTCCATCAAGGTGGGTCTGTTTGCATCACCTGCTCTTTAAACCTTAGAAACGTTGAGAATGGCGTTAATCTTCCTGCAGGATGGAGTTCTGCAACGTGAAATAGACGTGCCATGCCTTTTTAAAATAGGATATCACCAATCATTAAAGGGATGTTGTTCTGTTGGGAATGATTGCGGTCTGAGTCAGCAGCACTTCACTGACCGCAGCATGGGCAGCTTTTGTGATTAAAGAGCAGATGACTCGAGAGATGGGCACTTCACATTATATAACTAGAGTCTTTATATTGCATTCGATGTGTTTATGCTTTATGCATTTTTTAATATTTGTCATGATCATTTTGGGCTAAAGCACTACCTGTGAAACCAGACGGAAGGAATTTAAACATGACTTTTTCTCCCTCATTTCATTGTGATTTTCTTAGATTGCTCCAGCAGAGAGCCCAGATGTTGCTGAGAGGATGGTCATTATTACTGGAACCCCAGAGGCTCAATTTAAGGTAATCACACAAACTCAAAGTAATTAAATCAAAAAGAAGAATAAGATCTCTTTTAACAGGAATGACATTTGTGACATGTGTCATAGTAAACTGCAATGGAGCGTCTTGTGTCCCCATCTTCCCCAGTCTCTCTTTGTCTCATACCCGCCTTTGTATTCCAGGCTCAAGGTCGGATATTTGGGAAGCTGAAAGAGGAGAACTTCTTCTCAGGAAAGGAGGAGGTCAAACTGGAGACGCACATCAAGGTTCCCTCAAGTGCAGCTGGCAGAGTCATTGGCAAAGGGGGCAAGACGGTGAGTACACTCTTTCTTATGCAAATAAACCTATATGGACATGATTAAAACCTAAATTTTAACTCCAAAATTCCTTTTTTTTGTAGTCAAAAGTTTAAATGCAATATGCATTGACAGGGAAGTTAAAAAGGACCAATCAAATAGGGGACAAAATTGATTTAAATGTTTTTCATTAATACTGGATGACTTAATTACATAATATTTAGCTTAATATTTCATAGAAATTTGATTCTCAACTCAATCGCAACACAGCCGACTTTTATGAAGGGGTTAAAAGGGACAAAATGTTATAGTTAACTATATTATAAAATAGATAAATGTTCAGTGACTAATACCCTTTTTCCACTGGCCGAAAAACCTGTTTAAACCGGGGAACAATTGGCTTTTAGTGACAGTAGGAACATCTCAATGATGCGTGTTAACCCGGGTCAAATCAGAATCAGAATCAAGTTTATTGCCAAGTAGGTTTGCACTTACAAGGAGTACTATATACAATAAATAGTATATAGCTGTATAATATAAACGCAGTAGACTGTGCATTAATGTAAGGCAGGAGGTATAGAGATGCTACATCGGTGTAGCTTCTAGATTCTGAACAGGGGAGGGAGAGAGGTAGTGTCAGCGTCACGGGGGTCTCTGGGCCTTGTTGATAAGGCTGGTAGCGGATGGGAAGAAACTGTTCTTGCGGCGTGAGGTTTTGGTCCTGATGGGCTGCAGCCTCCTGCCAGGGGGAAGTGTCTTTAATAATTTGTGGATGGGGTGCGAGGGATCAGTCACAATCTTCCCTGCTCGCCTCAGAGTCCTGGAGGCGTACGGATCTTCTAGAATTGCCAATCACCTTCTTTGCAGACCGGTGACATCAATAACGCTAACCCAGCGTGATGGTGTCACCAGACACACAACGGTTGGGGTATAGAGGCCACACAGCTTGCCAGCTAGAGGTTACACCAAGCTTTTTTTTGGCCAGTGGGAAGGGAGCCAAATGTCGATTGTTAGCGGGTCGACCCATCTTTGATTAACCTGAGTTAACATGTAATTTTCAGTGCGAAAGAGGCTTTAGATTAGTCCGTTTCATGTGAGACTCTGACTGGCTCCTTCACACTGAGCGAACCACGAGGGCTTCTTGCTAGTTTGCAATGACTCTTAGTTCCATATTTTGCCAGAAAGTGCATCAATATCTTTAGTTATGTGTAATGGGGATAGCAACTTTCAGACGGGAACAACATTAGCCCCGCATTCTGACTAACACTCGCTCCCATGTAGATATTTCGAGCTAAACAAGAAATAAAAACAGTGTTTTTATAAATAAAAGGATGATGTGGAGTAAGAGGTTGTTCTGTTCATAGTGGTGGGGGATGCTCATTGTTCACCAAAACAAATCTGAAAAAACTAGTTTGCAGCAACCAAACCATAACCATTTGATCGCTGCCATGCTTCAAGTATCCTGTACCCCAGCTAGTACTATAAAACCTAATCTGCTGGTAATAGTTTTTATTAAAATAGTCATAACAAGATCCAAACTCAACCGTATTTAATTCAAAACTACTATTCTATAAAGTTGGATTTATGTCATTTTTCAAATTAAAAGCCAGATTTATGCCGCAAGCTCCTTGGTCAAAAAGAGCAAAAAACTAAATAAAATAAAAAGGACAGCACTACCTCACATCGTCATTAACATGACTTGTAGGCTTAAGCTGAATTTCCCTATGAGGAAAATTTAAATGAAAAATGTCTGTTTTGTTGTAAGTGTGTGTGTGTAGGTGAAATCTGATTCAGGTTGTGTGTTCCAGGTGAACGAGCTGCAGAACCTGACGAGTGCGGAGGTCATTGTACCGCGGGACCAAACTCCTGACGATAACGACGAGGTCTTTGTAAAAATCAGTGGACATTTCTTTGCCAGCCAGGTACACAAACATCAATATGATATTTTGCAAATGTTACAATGTCCTGTGGTATTTGACCCAACGGGGGCATTTACACATCCACCAACAAATTTATCAAAAGACGAGCACAAAACATAATTTCAGCACTATGAAGCTAAATGAAATAACAAACAAAGCAAAAATAAATGAAAACGATGTTGCAAAGACACACACCAATGTTAGTGCAACTCGGTTCTATTAATGAAAACCCAAACCTTGCACTTTCTGATGGTGTCAGCATCAATGGAGGTTTCTGATATGGGCCACATGCGCAGCTGCTGGCGGAGGGGGGCAGTATCACCACGCTAAAGGCGAAAATCCCTGAACCAGCCCATGAAGGGGAATGATGAGACTTATTTCATGAAGCGAAGAACATAAACTCAGTTTCACTTTCACTAATGTAAAAATATTGTTCCTGGTTCATAACTACTATTCACTATCTACAGCTTTTCCATCTCCTGGTGGTTATGTGATTAATGGAAACAGATTCTATTGGCTCTGAGGGTTCAGAGGACGTGTCAGTATAAGTATTTTGACAAGACTAAAAAAAGAATCCAACTCATTTAGTCTAATATCCACCTTACATAGCTAATATTTTTTCAAATCTAAATATTGATGCATCAGGATATGTATTTTTAAGGGCAATAACTTTCTGTGGTGTCCATGGATATAAGGACAGAAAATAATGTTTATCAGCTGTTTTTTTGTTGCACTTTTTATGTTAATAGTTGTAAAACTGTCTCTTTAGGGCAGAAAAAAATTGGGATAAATTAGCATTTTTATAGCTGTCTCTAAGTCCGATAATATTAGTAATATTGTTAATAATTAGTTATTTGAGGGTTTTTAATCTTTTAAATATAGAGAACTGCTTCTCTAAAAACATACTTTTCAATATATTTTACCATACTTTTATTTTGAACTATTTCAAGCCATTATTTGGAAATATATTTCTTATTGCCCAATGTAAACCAATGAATTAAGTTAGGGTAATGAGTATCTATGTGTGGCTGGATTTATTAACTTTAATATAAGTTTATAATGGCAATTATTATTTTAATAGCAAGATGTAACTTTGGTGGTGTAATTAACTATTGTTCCATTAATTTATGCATGTTGTGGTGTTAAAAAAATACATCTTATTTTGACATTTGACCAATTAAATAAGCCCTTGAATGATATATTACCTACTGTAAATTAGTAAGTTATATTTAGGTTTATAAACAAAAAAATATAAGTGCCAGTACCAGCATTATGCCTCTAAGATTATGTTGTACCAACAAAAAGTGTTTCTGTCACTCTCAGTGTTTTTCATGAATTTTGTTTATAGAAGCACTTTAGTTATTTTTCTTAATTTATTCAGGCAAACTTTGGTTATTACATTGACATTCATTTTTGCCACCCAAATATCCATATTTTTTTTAAAGTTCTAAAGGTAATAAGGTCTTATCCTGCATTCCAATAACACTACTGGCTTGAAATTTTGATTTTGAAAGTATTTCACTGAGCGCCCTATAAACGGTTAAAAATATTTGGACTTGGTGTTGTTGACTTCATTCCTGTTGGTTATATGTTCAAGATGATGAGTAAACATGGAATCGTGTAGGTGATATCATTCTTTTTACAATAATTTTTTTTATTAACGTTTGAGAAAAAAGAAAAAAGAAAGAAAAGACTTTGGCATTGAGAAGAATTTAAAAGTCATTAAATCAAACTTAAAACCAGCTCATATCTTAACCAGAAAGGTCAGCACCATTTTTTTACAGTTTTTCAGTTTATTCATTCCAATGGAGCCATTCCCCTCATTTTATTTTCTTACAAACAATAAATGTAATGTACAAGTTGGAAGTAATAGTCTTTCAGGCAGCAATACTTAAAGATTCATTAAGAGGCATTGAAAAAGGTTGCCTGATGGGACAAAAATAGTAAGACACTGGGCGTATTAAGTTTCTATCTATGAAATTACATTAAAACGGTTTAGTCATCAGTGTCAGAGGTTAGTAGACCTCCAGACAATGTGTCAATGTGTGGCCTTTTTTTTTTTTTTTTTTTTTTTTTACATAGATTTTTTGAAAGGAAACTAGTATTTGAATTGCATGCAGGGTAGTTTGTTTTACATTTTGCATGTACCAGATTGTCACCAGTCTGTTTGTTTCCTGCCACAGACTGCACAGAGGAAGATCCGGGAGATCATTCAGCAGGTCAAACAGCAGGAACAGAAGCACCAGCAGGGCGCCGCCGTGTCACCGCACCACTCCAAGTGACCCGGCCAGGCGGCTCCAGTGGGCACCAGCCAATGAATGTAGCCCTCCCAAAACGGACAGAGACTGAGCCAGACTGAGGCCAAGGCCAAGGGGGATGTGCAGGGCAGACCAGCAGCGGCGGCAACGGGATCAAAACCAAAGAACTTCGCTACGGGGGGAAACAAGTGAGAGCCAAAGGCTGAGGGCATTTAGTGCACTGCCAGCCCTGCAAGAGCAGACAGAGTGGGAGAAAACATACTGATAAAAAGACCAAAAAAAAGCAACACATAAGAGGTGGGAACTGCATTAATTTGAAAAAACAATACATCTTATGGGTAAAAAATAACAAACAAAAAAAACCAGGATATGTCGCCCTGCATAACGTTTATCTCTTTAGTTGGACTAACATAGGCCTCAACTGATCAAACAAATAAACCTATTAACACGAGTGCATACAAGGCATTTTGGATTGACAGCGTGAGTTAGAACAAGAGCGACTCCTCTTTATGAGAGTATCCTTAGCAGTATTAATGCAGAGTAGAGATGTATATTGATACACTGAGAGTATGCACTGTTTTTTTTTCCCTCTATCCGAATGACAGAACCAACCTGGTGCCGTTTTAAATGTGTGAATCTGTTCAGTAGACTGAGCTGAAACAGCCACAGAAAGCGATCGATTTCACCCCCTTTTTGTTTGCTGAATTTAAAATCCCTGAAAGTAAACCTGATGAAAGGTTCTGAGTTTTTTTAACAAGCCTGTGTGTGTGCCAACGCAAAAGATAACGTCCCCCTCCCTGCTACTCTCACTGTTCATTTCCCATGCTTTGCCCTTTTTCTTTATAAATTCTTTCTGCTAATTTCTGCTTTCATTGCTCTCATCTGGCATTGTGTTCTTATTGCAAAGGAAGATTTTTTTGCCTTTAGCCTTTTTGAGAAAAAAAAAATTGATTAATAACTGCCACTTTCTTGTTAAAGAAAGGTGAAATGAGAAGAATTGTATCACCCTCCATGCAGTGATGTCCTTATATTAAGAAGAGGCAATGACGATCAGAAAAAATAAAAAATAGATCAATCGCGTCTTAAAGAAGCTGCGCACCTTAGCTAGTGAGCAGGTAATCATTTGTTTTGAATGTGCACTGTCACACGCTTGGCCTTATGGGACGTCACAAGGGTCAACATGAAGGGGTTGAGTAGAGAGCCCAGAAAAGAGGACCTTGTTAGGGTGGGAGGGCGAAAACACTCATAGGCTTAGAGAACAGGCATGGGCCGGTAAATAAGAGATAGAATATGCTGTCAACACGTTTTAAAACAAAAAAAGTATTTTATGATCAAATTTCTTTATTTAAATCTACAAAGCAGCAAGCCATTCTACTGCTACTAAAATACTGTTACATATATTTATTATTACAGCTTTATTAAATATTATCTATAGCAAATATTCTATATTATGTAGATATATAGTACAAGGGGGGAAGTTGAGCTACTTTGTCCTCTGAACAGCCAGAGAAAACTCAGGTCACACAATCATTTTCTCGGATGTCTTAGATAAAAATAAGAGACTTTGGACAAGTCTGGCTGTAACTGTGTGAATATTATTAAAGTTAGTTTTGCTAGTGTCAGAAAGGTGCTGAAAATAATCATTAAAAGCACAATAGCTTTAAGCAATTTAGAAATGATCTTTTTTTGTTCATATTTTAATTTAGAAATGTCAGAGTGGAGACTATAAACTTTTCACCATTCCATTTGGTGATCATTTTGCTGCCTCAAACAGCATGTATTCAGCAAAACTAAGCAGATAACCGAATAGCTCAACTAAGTACAGCTAGTTTGCCATTTTCTACTCTTTTGAGTTTCATCCTATGCTATAAAAATGCAGGATTTAGAAATATTGGTAGCCTTTCAAAAATCTCTGGGTTAAATGTCTAATTTTTTTTAGGAAACTGCAATAGTGTGACAATATAAGATCTGCCCCTAACTAGTTTTTGTAGTTTATGACTTTTTTCCCCTCTAAAATTTTGGTGAATGCATTGAAGGAAAAACACTTTCAGTAAAAAAAAAAAATGCATTTAATCACATTTTCAGTTCCCCAATTTCAGTAAAATAGAAGGAAAATAAAAGACAAAGAACAAAACCATGATAAAAGCAGGTAATAAAGCAATTAAAACCATTCCATTCATTAAAACAGTTTTGATCAATTTTTGAATTAAAAAACCTTTCTTGTGTTTAAAAAAACATACAAAATAAAAAAAAATTATTATTAACATTTTTATTAAAGTTTTTTTTTAATCCCATCATACTTCATTGTTAATAATAATTTATAATTTCACAGCTGGAAGGAAAAAAAACAAAACCTTTTGAAACCTAAACTTATATATCTAATTTCATTGTAATTCTTGAAGAGAAATAAGAATTATTCTTTTATTTTTTAAACGGAGATTGGGCCCAAAAATGAAGAGTAGGAACAAATAATTTATAACTGACTTTATAAAGGCTTGATCCAGGTAACCGGCCCATGCCTATTGGTGGTTGGGAGGAAAGGGGCGGGGCTTGGCACCGTATGACCTGTGGTACACACACAACCGCAAACCTGACCGCATTGGCGTTTGGCTTTAACCCTCTCTTTGTCAGGGAGCTTTCTAAGAAAAAAACGGCATGACAGCTGTGAATGTACAATATGCAGCCTTTTTTTTTTTAGAACACCTCACCTCCTGCCGTGTCCAGAAGGCCGGACCTGCCACACAGACTGTCACTCTCCCCTTCACTCTTTTAACCCCAACTTGGCATTTTTGAAGTAACCGTTTGTGGCCGGCCGCCTCAGTGAACACTCAGGACTCGCAGGTCATGGTGTCCTTTCGTGCTTTACTTTGGAAAGACAGTGGAAGCTTGTTGCCTTATTTTGTCACCTCTTAAACATCACCCATCAGCTTCATCTTCCAGACGCAAGGTTATTGCCAATACGCACAGCTTCCTCCGTGTGTGTCTCTGTGTGTGTGTGCGCGCACGTACGTATGTGTGTATGTATATATATATAAAAACAGAGTAATATTTATGAATCTATTTTTTCCTATTTGTGATGAGATCTATTGATAAGAAACGAAAAAAAGAAAAGTCTGCTTCTGTTTTTTCTTTCCCTCCCTCAATGGGACACTGCCATATTATTTTGAAGGGAAATGTTTATTTTCTTGAAAACTAAGACTATGAAAAATAATATAATAAGAAGAAACGATAAAAACCTGAAAAAATACAAGTCAAGTGAACCACGGCGTTAACTTTGGTTGGGATGTGAACAGTGCGCATGTCAGTATTGTGATCTACCTCAGGCTTCAGGGTACCTCAGTCCAAACTTTCATTTACCCCCTTATTTTCCACATTTTGTATGCCTTGTTAAATGATTATTTTGAGCATTTTTTTTTTTAGCAGAGAAAAAAAAAATCTGTACACTTTCAGATCCAGCTGACTAGTGAAACTTTGCAAAACAATAATCCGCTGGACTGTGTTTGCCTGGACGCCATGCAACCTCTAACGTCCATTTTGTTAGAAAGGAATGAAGCATGGGATTTTTTATAGGGTAGATACCCGAAAGATCTTTGGTAAGAAAGACAGAAAGATACAAATCAGCTAGAAACTAACCAACTATACCTCCTGTTTTTCCCGACTTGACCTTCAGGTTTTTGTTTAAAAAAAAAATGTAAATGAAAAAAAATGACGTTCATTGATTTGTAAGATATTGATAAGTGTTTTATACCAACCTGACCTAATCTCACAAGTTCCGTTTGATAGAAAAAAAAATCACACATAGCAAACCGGATCGGATTTAGAAGAGATCAAGAATGCCGCAAAAATACACTGACAGAACCCTTAAACACGTTATAAAACCCAAGTTTTGAGTGCAAAATGTCAAAACAAGCCTAGTCGTTTGAAATGTCACTGTGCACGACAAGAAAAAAAAACTGTATATCTGTAAACATGTACAATAGAGCCACACATACAATGTTTTCTGTCGTTCTATAACATAAAGCATGGCGGGGGAGTCTAGAGCGCCACAGCTTTCCTTAAACTGACCTCCTAATTTGAATTTGGTGATTTTTTTTTTTGTGCTGTACATTTCAGAATCACCTCTCTAAATCCATGGCTGACTTTAGATACTAAAAAATATGTGTGGTGAAAAAAAAGGAGGTAAACAAGTCATATAGTTGAAGTTTTTGTTTTAGAGCAGTTTTCGTTTTCCCATTTGTTCGTGTAGGACAGCAGAACTTTAGTCTTCAGATGAGGTGGATCATTTTTGTCCCAGTGAACACAAACTTGCAGTACTATATTAAAGGTCTAACAAACTCACACAATGCCTGAGGCTGTTGTTGTTGCCGCCAGCCTCCCCACAGCCGGTACAGTACCTCATACTGATGATGAGAGCCCGCCAGACACGATTCAAAGTAACCCAACGCGACTGAAATGCAGTACGGTGCTCGGACTCCTCAGACAGTCTGCTTCACCTTTTGTAGAGCATGTTTCAGAGAAAAACGGCTTTTCATTGTAGCACTGATACCTCTACTGCTGCTTGCAAAGGTATTAGCATCCCTTAAACCTTTAGGCATTTTGTCACGTTAAAACAAGAAACTGCAATGTGTTTTATTAGCAACACAGGCTGCTTCATGATTAAGGTGATTTTTAAGTCTTTTTTCAAATTCAAAATCCTTAAAAACTCTGCTATCTGTTGTATTTAGTGTTTTAGAAAAGATCTACTGTCTTTGCATGCTTAAAAGAAAATAATTCAAGGTTCTCAGGTTGGATGAAGAGCATTCATGAACATGACTGAAGCTCTCTTTGTCCATGCTTTGGAGACATCATCCAAGAGGCCTAGTTTTATCTGTTTGTTAAAAAAGATTTCACAAATGAATATCACTGCAAAAATGATAAAAATTTATTTCTTAAACTAAGTGTATTTATTCTTAATTTTAGTTGGTAAATTAAATGATCTGTCAATGGAATGAGTATGATTAGGCTTAAAATAAGGTAATTAGAAAGTATGCCCTTGAGATAAAAGACTCCAGTTGTTTTTTTTTCGTACCGTATTTTAAGTTTAAATTGCCTTATCCCATTGGCAAAGTGTCTTATTTACCTGCTCAATTCAAGAAAAAATGCACTTAATTTGAGAAACAGAATTTTTTTTGCATTGTACCACCTAAAGCTTTGCTAAAAGAGTTTTGGAACAACCAAATACCCTTTTAACTGAGGATCAGAGAAAGAGGATAAGGTGGAATCTTAGGTAGCAAGAGTAATTATCAATGTAGGAGCCAGAAGAAGGAATTTAAAATTGTTGTTGCAGTTTAAAAATGAAGAAAAAATCTATTTAAATGGGATGAAGGCATCAAAGGGAGGCCAGACTGACCCGAGGGAGCCAAAGCTGACATAAAAGACTGTGAGAGGTATTCCAAAAAAATGTCTTCTAACAGGTTAGAAGACATTTTTTTGGAAACTTTCTCAATTCTCAATTGTGAGAGGTACAGTAGCAGCCATTCAAAATTTCCCCGCTTTCCTTGAAGTGCCAATGGTTGGTCCCCTACAATTCCTTTTTAAACATCAATCTTTGTACTAAAATACCCTTTCTGTCATGATTTGTGGACATTATCTAAAGAGAAACACCATCTCCTGGTCAGACCCTGTAATTCAGTGAAAGGGTGGATTAAATAAATATGCACACACAGGAGAAGGAGGGGGTCACTCCAGGGGCTGGAAATTGGAGAGGATTTTGCTGGGAGTTGCAGGAAAGTGGGCGTTTGGCTGAAAAGTGCCATTTTGAAAGGCTACTACTGTATATATGTATATAATAAGGCTGAATGGGGTGGGTGACCTCTAAATGCAGTTGGTTTCATTAAGTTTTATTTAGAGCTATCAGAGTTAATTGAGCTTTATAAAAAATCACGCAAAACTTTTCATACTTGCTTACAAAACACTGAAAAATCTGTATTAATTTCCATCAACTTCACTAAAGCCCAGAGTAGTGTAGATATGAAAGAAAACAGAAGAAATTTCTTGGTTGTAACGTGACAAAATGTGGAAATTTGTTTTGGAAAAGGTTGAATACTTTAGCAGGGCACTGTAGTTTGTTATCTTATCCTCTTTGGATACGTTTCATAGATCATTTTTGACGTTGTGGCTCTTTTTCCTGCATTGCAGAGGACTCTGCAGGCCTCTGTCTCTCTCTCGTGTTTTTGGCTCTTTATAGGCGCAGGTTTCCCTCCAGCTGGATCACACTGACTTCATCGCTTTGAGAAAAATCATCCTGGATGTTTACATGGTATGAGGTGAAACCTGCAAGGAGCGTAGTAACTTTTTTCTTTTTATTATTTTTTTAAGGATTGGTATTTCTAGCTATTGTGGGGTGTTAGGCATTCGTTTTCAGTACCATAAAAAATAAATCCTAGTTACACACATCACTAAGGGTGTAAAGTGTTGTTAGTCATATCACACGGTGGATAAATAGCTAAGGTTTTCTTTTATTGTCTGTTCTGATCTGGTTTCTTGTATTTCACTCTGATTAAATGATGTAGTCTGGAGCTGTAGCTGGGAATCTAACTCTTCATTCCTGTTAGATCGCTACGATTAGAACTAGTTAGGAAATTGTGGTGGGGAAAAAAAAAAATCATCCTAGGTAGGATTGTTTAAACAGATAAAGAAAGATAAATACAAAGTTGGAGTGTTGAAAGTACCCAGGCCTGATTCAAAGCTCTGAAGAAATGGTTTTGAGTTTAGAAGACGGATCAGAGGTCGTTCGGCGCCGTCTGATAGCCTCTGAGGTCAAATGTATGCAGAAGCCACAGCAGTGTTTTTGTTGCCCTGTCATGTTGTTGAGTGGAAAACATTGCATGAGATTGATGCAGGTAATCCAGTATGTACTACACTTCACATCGCACTAGACTTGGAATTGTGTTTTGTTTTAATTTTTTTTACAAGGATCTAGTTCTTATCTGCATTTTTCACCATCTGGGAGATTCATTTGGTTTCTTGGTAGATTAAAACCCTCAATGTTACCCACAGGCCAACAAGGCTCCCAACACCAGGAGGTAATAATAATCAGTGGCTGCGTTAGAGGGACATCTGAACCATTGTTTACTACCACACATATGGGTCAATGCCTTTCTGGTTACCAGCCAAGCTGTTCTTTTGAGTTATGAGTGAACTGTATTGCTGAGCAACCTGGATCTGAGCAATAAAGAATATCTGAAAGAAGAGCTTGTTTTTGTTTTTATTATGTTGAACACTTACACAGGAAAGAAAATAAATCACTCATTGTAAAAAAGAAAAAGTCCTCATATTAAAGCAGCTCCCCCTACAGGAGAAACCCTCATTACACAATACTGCAAGGAATTTAAATAATAAATATTCCAAATCAATTATTCCCTCCAAATTATCTTTACACAAACAGCTTCTGTTACATTTCTCGACATCCTAGTAAATATACTTTTAGAAAAAAAAAAATACTTGTGTATCTTTAGTCTACCTCACAAGGGCTTTTCTGTTACCAAAAAGACGGCATGTTTTCTTTTCCTATAGCATTTAGCAAGGCTGGGACATCCAACGATTCTATGTGGATTTGGCCCTAATGGTATGAGTTTTCATTTAAAAGGTCCTGACATTTTAAAGGCAGTGTGATGATATCCACAAAATGAGATCTTGAGGACCTTTATAAAAGAAATAAGCTCACATGATCGCCATCCACTCTATTGAATGCCGGACAGGAGTCATTTTCCATGTATTCATCCCTTGTTCACATCTATAGTGTTTGTTGCCAAACAGCTTAATATAATTAGCGTCATCGGAGCAAAGCATCCAGTTAGTCTCTGCAGACATTAGAAACACGATTTTGTTTGTTACGGTATGAAAGGTCCTTCTTGGGTCTAATTTTAGTTTGGTTCTACAACTATGCAACACTTTAAGGTCAGATTATTTCATCTTGGTCACTGTTCAGGGTCTATTGTTCTAAAGTTGTTGTTTTTTTTTGTTTAATTTCCTCTGAAAGTACAAAAGAGAAGGTTTAGGGCAGGTAGCTTTTTACCTGAACCTAAAACCTGGATCTTAGATATTAGTTCTCTTTTCTTATCCATTTTAAATACAATAATTAAAAGGTCATTTATACTGTTAAGCTTTAAAAATAAGAATAATTGACATTCATTCTTATAACAGTTGATACAGACATTACAAGCTGTTACAGCTATAATTTTGTAGAAACCAAAATAAAAATGACCTCAAGTGACATTCCTTTGCTTACAAGCTGATTGGGTGTAATCTTTTTTTCTCTCCTAGTTAGTTAACAGTTAATTGTTAACAAAAAACAAAATTGTAAAAAGAGATCTCAGAAATGTGACAGGTGTTGTCAGATTAACACAAGATGTCTTGGTAAATATGAACATTTCATGACATTAAAAACCATGTTCATCTCAATGATAAAAAAGGCAGATGCCAACACTTCCTTCCAAAACATTACAGAAAACATACCTGTACCCAGAGTAAACAGCTTGCACACGTGATTATAAAGAGGCAATAAACAGAAGGTACCTTAGCTTTAAAAACTCTAAAAATAACATTTTAGATTTTGAAATACTGGGCTGATAATGCATGTCCTGAACATTAAAATCAGTGTTCATGACTATAAGGAGAACTCGCAATCCCTGTATGTGGTGGGGAATCGTGCAGATTTTTTCAAAAACAGAACAAATCCTTCATGAAATGGGATCGTTCCCGAGCACCCACAATGGTCAGAGTTCAACATTTGGCCTCATAGTTCTGATCTATTTTCTGCTCATTTAAGGCCTGCTGTGTTTCAATGTTTTTTTCTAATAGTAGCTTTAAAATCAGTTGAATTTTCAGTTATTAACAGCACATCTATAAACTCATCAGACAGTTATCAGAACCATAAAGCAGGGCAGGCCTTCAGCGGGTCACAGAGTCCATGGAGGTAGAATTTTAAGGCCAGAACTGCACAAGAGGCACTTTGGATACAAAGTTTAAACAAACAGTCTGAAGACATTTGTTTAAAGGCTTTCTCTCCTCATTATTACTATAAAATTCACATTTTACCAAAGCACTGTATCCACAAAACACCAGAAAAGAAACCCATCTAATACATTTGTAGTTTTCACAAGAGCAGTAATTCCAAACGCCTGAAGGGGCAAAGCACTCCTGAACAGGAGAAAATGTAAGATAATAACATAAATCAACTGTCAAAGTTTTTTCTGAACAGCAGCCACCCTGAACAGGTTTGCTCTGGAGAGCAGAAGGCATCAGAAAACTCAGTGGATTAAAAACACTTAGAGGGTCATTGACTCTTCCTATCCGTGTCCACTCCATTCTGGGGTTGTACGCCCAGTTTGAGACGCTTCTGGCTGAAGCGTCGGATGAGGGCGCTGGGCACCAGAGCCACGCAGGCGATGGCCAGCAGCTGTAGGAGGCGCTCCCAGGAAAACAGGTCGTCCAGCGATGACACCTCAGACAGCATGACACCAGTCTGCACGCAGATGAAGTTGTAGGGCAGCAGGCCTGAAAATGAGTCCCAACATGTCAGAAACAAACCATAAGGAGCCAGAGCTTAATTGACTCATTTAGAAGGAATATCAAACGGCATTCCCAAACCTTGTTTAACAGAGAATCAGGACTTTCAATAACGTTTCAGAACCAATTCTCTAAAACTAAAAGGAGCACACAGCGACATTTACCTATATCAAATCTAAATAACTTAAATTAATGAACTTTCAAATAATTTTGAACAGCATAGTTGCATGTTTGAGCTGAAAGCATGTAACCTACCAGATACACAGTTATCAGCTCCATCTGGATATCACTGGTCATTTCCATGCTACACACATATTATATGATGAAACTTTAGGTGATATGATGCACGATTAACTTAAAGCTCCTAACCACTTAAATCTTTGTATTCACAAATTCTCAAATAAAGTTTCAGAATCAGATGCGAATATTGGAGCCAACTAAAGTAGGCTTCACTTTTTAAAGACATTTACACCATGCAGTGTCTGAATAAAGCCTACTTACTATTTTAAATGTAGGCCTAGGATACAACTATCAGTAATAAGCTAAATCTCTAGAAATACACCGTTTCATTCTAAGCTAAACACGGAGCAAATGTAGATGGGCCAGTATCATCTATTGTTATGGGAAATTAACCTACGACCAGATTTAATATTGAACTGAAAACAATCAGCTGAAAACTGCCATTGATTTTTGCATAAGGGAATATTCACTTCCCTTAAGGTGTATATTATAGCTATCAAGGTTTAAAAGTCTATTTTTGTGAGGAGCTCGTATAGCATGGCTACTCCGCTCTCGACTTTAATCGATTTGCAGCACGCTCTGCGTTTTTTGGGGGGTCTTTTGAAAGCCATTCTCTGGCAGACCATGCATCCTAAATTTGGCATTTTCCGTGACCTGCATTAAGCATCGACTCTGACTCAACATGAGTCAATTCACCTATTTACCTAAACTTCATGTACAGCTGCATATTATGTAATGCACATAGAGAGGAAATGCAAAAATGCAGCAGCAAACCAAAAAATATTAACTTTCAAGGTAGGCGTTTCCTTCCATTCCTGGACTCCAGGGATCCGACATTTTCCTGAATTTAACAGCTTTCTGTCAGTCTATTTTGGCAGGATTGTGTAGAAAAGTCCTTACTTCTCCTCACATACATAGATCTTAGTGCCAGCGGCAACTTTCTCTTCCATTGGAGGGATTAAGAATGAAAACAAAAAGCTTGTAAACAAAGACATATGCTTAAAGTGAATTCCACACTGTCAAAATGTTATGAAAACCCAGGCCTTACTATTCTATTACTGATTTTATTTAGTTAAATACAATCATGATGTTTATGTCAAAATGATCTGGAAAACATTTGAAGTAAAAAAAAAAATTATAAATTAGTTTTCTCCACAATATAGAGCCGATTTACCTCTAAGCTCCAAACAGACCAGGCCTAACTGCAAAGAAAGCAGTAAGATCTTTTACAAAACAAGGTGATAATCCAAAGATTTGTAAGCAACACCTACCAATAAATACTGAGCAGAAGAAGAATGTGATAGGGATGTTGACTATTGGGGCAGACATGTTCAGGAACCAGTTGGGAGTCATGGGAAAAAACCTCAGGAAGAGCAGGAAGAAGAACAAACAGTCTCGATTATCTTCCACCTGTAAACGACAATAATAAAACCTTAGATGTGCAGCAAATTTTTTTTGTAAAGTTACCCTGAGCTTTGAACACATTTAATCACAGATATTTTGAGAGATTGACTATAACAGTTAATACATATGAAGGGGATGGAAAAAATAAAACAAAACATGGATTCATTCAGTTTTTTTTTAACTATAACTTGTGACATACATTTATATTTAGCCTGATTTACTCAGCTATGTCTAAATTAAACCCTGTGCCGATAATTACTGTCAGAAGGGAACTCGTTAGTAGAGCCTCCTAATATAAACTCAATCCTATAAAGACTGACTATTTGTTTGCTACTGTTGCTATTTGATTAGAAGCAGGGTGCGTAACAGCATAATGTGGCAGCAAATAATGATTGGATAAAAGTAGTAAATGAAAGGCCAATTAAACTAGATCCCTTCCCATGAAGCAAAGAAGGAAGGTGTTAGGTTTATTCTTTATACATCATGTGCATTGTTTCTTTGTTAGCCAGATTAGACAGAATAGAAGGCCTTCCTTCACATGGTGGATGTCACTGTGTGTACGGAGGCCATCTAATCAGGAACGCCTTCATGTCTTTAAAAATACACAGGATATGGGCACATCTTGGAGCCGGACTGATAAAGGAGAGCTATGTGTAATCCTGGGGTAAAGAGGCAAGATGTATAAAGGTCAGGGTATGGATGGCGTGTCAGTTTCTGATACGGACAGCTGAGCATCCACCTGATGCAAAACATGGACTCATCAGGTATAAGAAGGAGGCGATGACCTTATTCGGGGCTCAATCTTTGCCGGACGCTCGCTGACGTTTTTTGAGTCCACAGCTGTGCCAACTCCAAGCAATTTCCCTGTCCTGTAACGACCTGACCTGGAATAAACACTGTTACTTTTTTACTCCTGTTTTATAGTCCTTTTTTATATGGTTTTACCCAGTTTGAGTTAATAGTAGTAAAAAAGTAAATAAATAAAGAACCGGTGGGGAAGTTCCGAGGCGCAGCTGCCTTCAAGGGGACCTAACTTCCATATTTAACAAAGGGTAACGGATGATGTTTCTATTAAACCAATCAGGTTGGAAAGCTGAATAAACAACCTAATGCACACTGTGTCCGTCTGTGTGAATGTGACACAATTCAGGTTTCTGATGAACAGGAAACTGTTCAGATCCAAATCATGAAGTAAAATCTTTTAGCCAAGGCAGTCTGAGGATGTGTACTGGGAATACTCCAGCTCAATCTAAAACTTTAATGTTCCTTAAATCCATAAGCTGAAATCCCCTTTATTAGCCCTCATGCTGGGATTGACCAGAAAGCCTTGAAGGGTTGGAAACAGTTTTAGCTCAAACAGCTTACATGCTAAACACAAATGATTGTCCATTAAAAATATTTCTGATGTTTTCCAACTTAATTAGTTTCTGGTGATGAAGACATTTCGCTACAGAAAGGGGAAATCCCTGATGCTCCAGGGAACTGAGCTGGAGCAAGGCAAAGAAAAAAACAGACCAAGAAATCTGAGTGTCACAGCAGGTGTTAGAGGATGTCCAGAGAGCACAGGTCTTCAGGCTCATGAATTAAAACTCTTCTTCACTGCAGAGTCGTCAGCCAGGGGATTTCCTCACCTTTCTGTCTTTGCCTCCCTTTGTCCTGCAGTCTTTGGGTACAACCAATTTGTTCCTCCTTTCTGCCCCTGACATCTTTATTTTACCACCTTTAGCACCAGCATTTTGAGGTACCAGAGTTATGGCTAAAAACCAAAAGCCTACAAACCTTTGCAGATTTGTATTATAAAAAAAAAATGTTTTAGAAATTGTATGTGCAGAGCTTCTTTACCTTTTTCTGCAACATGGAAACTTTATCTGGGAAGAAATTCACGATGTAACGTTTTCCGAAGGATTGGGACAGCAGGAAGCACATGGTGGAGCCCACAGTGGTGAGCACACAGGCGAGAAGCAGCCCTTCATACGGTCCAAAGATAGCTCCTGCAAGAATGTTCTGCAAAATGACAAGCAGAGATGAAAAGGCCTGTTGTTACCACTTTACTTCACTCTAAGTGAGAGAGGAGGGAAATATTTTAAGAAAAAAAAAACAGTTTGAAGTGTCAGGTGAGAGAGGCAGTGCGTTTTGATTCTCATTCAGCTGTAAAGAAAATAGTAAAAAGGAGCAAAAGAAACTGAGCAGTCATCAGTCCAGTATACGGGTCAGGAGTTTTTGTTCTGATTTTCCCTACCTTACATGTTCTTATCTTAAAGGGAGATTTGGAGTTTGTAATATCAATTTTACCTTTAAAAGACATTTAGTACCTTCAAAGCTTTCCACTTACCAGGAAAGACGATCCAGGGATAGCAAAGGACTGCTTGTAGAGATATGCGCTACAGAACAGGAGCAGGACATATCCAGTGTGCTCCGTTTTGTAGAACTGCAGGAGCTCAGCCAGTTCTCGCAGCTCTTCCAGGTCTGATGGGAACTTCAACCTGTCACAAGAGTCACTCTCAAGTTAGATCAAAAATTAATAAACAAAAAAATCAGACACAGATAAATAAACTGTTAACAGGATTTTACAGAGCTGCCTTCTGTGTTCATAAGCGACACTTGTGCTACTGAATATCAGGACATTTACAGTATATAATATAGATCTCATAGTGGTGCCAAAAGGAGGAGATGGGGTATGTGCAGTGTGTGTATATATATATAAAATAAAACAGCTGATGTCTCTTTGCACAGGTTATTAAATAGAGATTGCACAAGTTGTTGCAGATTTAAATAAGGCAGCAGCTAATAGAGGACTCAACAGTATACATACAGTAATTATATTGTAATACATACACTTTATGATTAATACCATCTAACCCTTTTTTTCAGAGAAATACTTTAAGCAAACAATCAGAACTTTTCTCATTTACAGTATATGAAATAAACAACACAAAGCCACTTGCAGCAGACTTTATTAAGGGTCTATGACACCAGGATGAAATCATTCGTGTTTTAGGAAGAAGACCAGCTGGCTGAGGTATTGTGATGCTTTATACAATGTTGTGCTGGTCCCTGCCTACTATGAGTGTATCATAACAAGTTTGGTTAATGTCAAAGTAATCAATTTGCTGTAGACAATATGCACACTTCTCAAGGAAGCTGCATCTCCTGAGAGCTGCAGCCTCCTTCAGCAGGATGAAGGATTTAAGCACAAAGTAAAAATGGTTCAGGGATACTGGGAAAAGCACAACAACAGGCTGGAGACTTTCACATGACCTCCAGTTGGACATCAGTGGGGTTTTGGATAAACAAGTTAGATCTATGGAGGCATCATCGTGTTCCTGGATCTGATCATAATGTTATGTTAAATTACAGCTGGGGCACATCTAACAGAAATCTACAATGCAACCAGACAATCAAACATCAGTCGCTTTAGATCTTAGACTGCTGGATTGAGGAAAGTACTGGTTGTTTAAAGTATTTCTCAGAAAAATGGGTACTTTAATTACTTTATATATACTATAGAGTCCTTCATTAGCCGCTGACTATTTTAATTCTGGCTAAGAGCTAACTGCTAACACCGGAGAAGGGGGGGTGGTTTACCTGCCGAATCCGTCGGAGGTGACACTGCTCTGCTCGGACTCTCTGCCTTCCACATCTCCAGCCTCTGGACCCGGCTGAGGACGTCTCCGTGGTCCCGCTGGGAGGTACAGAGACAGACAGTACAGGTACAGGCTGGCTGCGGTCACAACAGCGGCTAGCCCGACGAGGGAGCGCATTCTCCTCGATAGAAGGACCGACCCAGCTCCTCTTCTTCACTCTTCTTCTTCTTTTATTTATGGTGGTTGGCAAATTCTTCTTCTCTCCTTCCTTAATGTTATTGTTATCCCTCGTGAACAGAACAACGGCCAGCCGCCGCGGTGACGTCGCCGACGACGTTAGACCTGCGTCAACCGTCTCAGCTAGTTTAAAATTTATTTTAAGCATCGGTTCATAATTCATACATACATACGGAGCCCCTCTGATGACATGGACAAAACATTTTTTTTATTGTGGCCACAAAGTAGTATTTCGCGGCCACGCAATAAGTATAACGTGCGCACGAAATACTACTTCGCGGCCACGCAATAAGTATAACGTGCGCACGAAATACTACTTCGCGGCCACGCAATAAGTTTAACGTTTGCACGAAATACTTATTAATATCAATAAATCCGCCCCTGTTTTCAGGCTTATGTTAACTGTAATGACTTATCTTGGACAGGCTGTTACTGTATGTAAAAGGGCCTTTAGTCCTTCGTTTAGCTATGCTGCGGTTGTTTACCCTACGCCTTTTCCACCTCAAATGGCGTCTCAGCAACAAATGTCACGTGACTGGCGGAGACCAACTGGGTAAGCAAATCGAGCGCGCCTTAGACCTTAGAGAAGGCGCGCTCGATTTGCTTACCCAGTTGTCCAGGAATGATAATATTATTAATAAGTATTTGGTGCGCACGTTAAACTTATTGCGTGGCCACGAAATAGTATTTCGTGCGCACGTTAAACTTATTGCGTGGCCACGAAGTAGTATTTCGTGCACACGTTATACTTATTGCGTGGCCACGAAATACTACTTCGTGGCCACAATTAAATTTTTTTTTGACCATGTCATCAGAGGGGCTCCGTACATACATAATAACACAGAGAATAAAAAAAATATATTATATATATTATATATCGAAAGGGAGATAAATGGTAAAGTTAATTAGCTTCCGCTCCAGATGGGGGCGATAGTCCACAGCGGAAACAGCTGGAGGGCAAAATGGTAATAGCGGACGAAGTTAGTATCAGAATCGTAGTTAAAGGCGTTAAGCGTCTTAACTTACCTTATAAATAAATTTTCACTGAGTAAAACTTACCTATCTTATCTGATTAGTAGAAATGTACAGGTTTTTAAAAACACGCCCTCTTAAAGAGATGTTGACACATTGTGCACTTTAAAACATCTATTTACAAGCACTGAACTGTGAACTTCATGTATTTATTAATCAGTGAACTAAAATGTTGTTTTAAATACACTTTTCACAATGTACTTACCTTAAACTAAAAGAGCAGACTGAATAGTTTATTACAAGTAAAATAGAAATATACCTGGAAGAATAGTTTAGGTGTACTTTGATAAACTAAAAGTAGACTTGAAAGTTATTAATCAATATGAAAGACAATTTTAAGTACCCTATACTTGGTGTACAATTAAAATAGGCCAGTTTGGTATATTTTTTTAGGTCATTTCTAGTATACTTGCAACAATGTACTTGGTAATATATGACTATACATTCAAACATGAACTTAAAGTATACTTGGATTTAATAATACTCTCATAAGCTATTTGTTTGATATTATTTCACCTTGTTTCACCTATTTAAAAAAGAAACAATGGGAGAAAAAAAGACTAAACCTAACTTTTTTAAACTTAACCTTTAACCTTTAATAGGAGGTCTTCCCTACCACCAACCTCACTTAGTTTGGCTGTGAGAGGCTAAATCCCTTCCTCTGCCTACATCCCCCAGAATGCTTTATGGTTCTGTTTCAGATTTAGGTGAAATTACAGACTTTCAAAATTATTTGCTATCGGTATTGATCAGTTGTCTGTTGTGATACAGACGGTCCAACCCTATTTTTTTGCTGTCGAATTTTGGGTTATGATAATGCCTGGACACGTTGGTAGTTTGTTTAAATGTACATCTGTACACAAGGGTGTAACTTTGTGATGACAGTTGGTGGGGAAACTCTAAGGGTGGGGGCTGATGGGCCTACAGTTACTCCACACAAACGCTTTCAATAGGGTTTGTATTTTCCAAAAATGAGCTCAAAAGAACCAAAATACACTGATATCTATATGTATGGGTAGTTAGACATTTATGTATATAAAAAAAGGATGAATAACCGCTGATGCCGATGCATTGCCAAAAGCAATATCATGCCTTCCTAGGATGGACACAATTTCAGTTTCATTCATCCATCCATCAATCCATCTAGAAAAATGTGGATTGATGGATGCATGTTTTCCCTTTCAGTTGCATTAGTGAATATCCTCCTTCAAAAGCAGCAAAATCAAAATTAGAAAATTGTTCCACATATTGTTGAGAGCCAGTCTATATATTGAAATTATTGGTGGGGACATGTCCACTCCAGTCCTTCAGAAAGTTACACCTGTACAGTATTTTTGTACATTGAAGTGACTGCTTTGAAATTATTTTTAGACCTGCTTTAATTTCTTAATAGAGTTCTAAGTTTCTACATTAATGTTCCCATAATGTGTGCCTAATTAGTTTAAACTGTGTGTAATTTAAAGCATATGATGAGGTATTCATTTTCTTTCTTTCTTTCTTTCTTTCTTTCTTTCTTTCTTTCTTTCTTTCTTTCTTTCTTTCTTTCTTTCTTTCTTTCTACATAATTAATCATATCTGTTAATTGTTGAGTGATGGTGTACAGGTTTGATCTGGATCTTTTATTTGGAGCTGTCACTCAAAATGGGTGAAACAGCCCTTTATAATGAGACTGTGAATCAGACACTGACTTTACCTCCTCTGATAAAGTAGTCCAACAGTTTCAAAGTTCAGTTGTTGAACAGAAGAGTTGCAGCAACAACAAGAAGACTCTGTTGAAAAATCATGGCTCTGTACAGCCGAGTTTCAGGCTCTGTCGGTGTGATTACTCTGCAGAATCCTCCCGTCAATGCACTGAGGTGAGAAACGTGCTGCGGTTTTACTTCAAAGAGCCTCATTTTCACAAACGGGATTGTTTGCAATGACTGCTGACCTAGAAATAGGTGATCCAGAAAATACATTCCATTGTCAGATTGTGCAATTCCTTGAAAGAATTTGCAAAAAAAAAAAAAAAAAGTTAACGAATGCAAAACAAACAGGGGCTCCGCCTCTGACTGTATTGGCCCCCAAAAAGCTTTCAGTTTTTTTATTTTTTTAACAGAACAATAATAATAAAAAATATTCTGTATATACAATGTGTCACACATTGTAATAAAAAGTAGTTATGTAATTAATTAAATGTGGCATTATGCCAATTAATTTGGAAACAAACAAACAGAAAAAATCAATTTGCAGCTTATTTCTAGAAACAGCTGTAGGCCAGCCAATAAAATGCCAGGGTTGATTGATAAGCCAAAGTTATTGTTTAAATAATTTCATATTGTAGGAATCTCTGGACAAATAGAAAATACTGAAGTATTTTTCGATGATAAGCGTGTTTATTAAATTTTAAATGACTGAATTTTAATTTTAATTTTGATATCTTTTGTTAAGAATTTATTAAAACATTTATTGTATTCATTTATAATTTTTTTTTACCATGTCCTTTTTGAATTTGAATATCATGCAATTAATACATATTTTAATTAGGATGATAATTTATGACACTTTACATACATCTTTAATCTTACTGGAAGTTATAAAAAGATTCTAAAAAGGTTCTGAAAACTGAACAGAGTTTGAAAAGTTTCTGTTTGGTTAAATAAACAAAGATTCTTCCATTAGTAGAATTGCTTGTAGTTGTAGCTGCATCTGTTATAGTTAATTACTACAGAACTAAACAGCCTTTAAAATAATTACTTTAAGATTAGTCAGGAGTTATTTTTGTTTTTATTTATTTTTTTGTTTGTTTTGGCCAACAAAAGTAGGGTATCTATTAAATAATATTACAATGATAATAATAGAAAATGATCATGATCTAATGGATTGGGGCCTTTGTGGTAAACAAATATTCTCCAAAAAGCAGCAAGTTTTTCTTTTCAATCTCAGAATTTCTAAGATGTTCTGTCCCTCACAGTGGCATAATGCTTTTGCATATAATCTGCCTATGATTTATGATTGAATGTGTCATCCATGAAGAATAATCTTAACACGATCAACATACTTACTCTGTTGCATCATGTTACTTTACATTTTTATGCACAACTATTGTGGTCAATTGCTTTTCTTTTGCTATCTCTCCCAATGTAAGAGTTTAAACTCCACTTGCTGATCTAACTCATGTGTTCTGCCCATCAGATAACTCTTTTAGACCGAAGCATGATCTGAGTGCCTACAATAATACACCTTAATTAATCATTTACTGTTAGCTGCATGAGAGCAAAGCAAACTGTCAGGAGCACACTGTTAACATTTCAGCTATTAGAGTTGTTCTGTTTAAACTAGTTTTAATAGATGCTTGTGTTTACTCATAATTCTTGATCTTTTTTTTTTCTTGATAAGGCTAGCAGGGTTCACTTTTTCAACAGTCTTTACCACGAAAAAAATGCACTATTTGCCAGGCACTGGGTTTCTAACCGAAGTGGGGTTGAAATGTGCAGCAGGAAGACTACGATGTTTTGGAACTTCAGTTTTGAAAGTTTCAAATCTGCTCTTTCTGTTTCTTGCTGCAGTGCTGCTGTGAGGCAAGGCATTGTTGATATGATGCACAGAGCCCTCAGAGAGCCAGAGGTGAAATCTGTGGTAATCTGTGGCCAGGATGGGAAATTCTGTGGAGGTACGACGAACCTCTGTTCCTCGTCAGGATTCAAAACGGAAAACAAGTCTATTTTCCTAATTACATTTTCTGTTCCAGCTGATTGTATTTGCTAATGAGTCACTGGTAATGTGTGTTTGACCTGATTTAATGTCATGTTTATGTATAACAGGAGCAGACATCAGAGAGTTTGGAGCTAAAATGAGCGGCCCTCCTCTGGTGCCAATGATCCATATGATCGAGGCAGCAGCCAAACCAGTGGTGGCAGCCATCGAAGGGGTCGCTTTAGGCGGAGGCCTGGAGTTAGCGCTCAGTTGTCACTATCGTATCGCGCACTCTAAGGTCAGTTCACGCTTCAGGTCCCTGTGTCTCTGTTAGTCAGTGTCTTTGTGTTGACAGTGTAAAGCTGCATCAGCATCTAAGTGACAGGTTTATATTTCATAATACTCAACTACTGTCGCATAAGTTCACTTAGAAAGAGTTAGCTTTATTAATTCTAAAAGCAAAATTATTTTATTATTATGTCCAAAAGTATTGGACAGATTCTTTTTCTCTATTAAATGTTGTAGTAATGCTTTTATGGGGGGTACAAAAGATAATTCAGAAATGCTAAATTGTTACATTTAAGATAGTATTTTAGATAAATGTTAATATATTGATCAATCAATATATTTTCTATGTGGCTAATAAACAATGCTTGTATTACAATGGTATTCGTAGCTCTTGAACCTTTATACTTTTGCCCCATGGCAAACTCTAACCCCAAAATATTTTCATATGAATTGATGTGAAGATCTATACAAATATATGCTTGGTTCAAAGGATGCATTCTTTTATTTCATTTTAGAAATAAGAACCCCAAAATTTCATTTATATTTGCTTATTTTACTAAAACACCTCTGCAGTTATTATAATGCTACTAGTTGCTTTCATCTACTAATTATTAAAGATGGGAAAACTGCAGACCTTATTGTCAGTACTAATACAGCTGTTATTTGAAGGCCTCAGTGGTTTGCTGCAGAACATCTGAGATCAAGCAGAATAAAGTTGTATAGAACATTAAAAGGGGTTTAGGTTCAGATACTTCAATGTTTGTTTTTTAAATTCAACCTGCTGCATCATGCTGTGGGGATGTTAGAGCAGGGGAGGGAGGGGAAGTCTGTCAGAGCTGATGGGAAGATGGAGGAAGCTAAATACAGGACAACTATTGGAAGAAGATGTGTTAGAGGCTGCTAAAGACAGGATGGAGGCTCACCTTAAAGCAGAATAATACCTCGGACAGTTGATGGAAGAGTTTAAACAAATCACCGTATTATTATTGAACCAAAAAGTTTGGACTCAAGTAAATGACTGTCTGGGGAAAAAAAATCATGGCTTTATTCTTTGTATAAATGTCTTTATGATGGGTTTAATGAACACAGCGTATTGCATTTAATGAATCATCCTCTTTTAGGCCAGACTTGGACTTCCAGAAGTGACTTTGGGTCTGCTGCCGGGTGCAGGAGGAACTCAGCGTCTCCCGAGGCTCATTGGTGTCCCGGCTGCCTTGGAGCTCATCACTACTGGTACAAATACAAATGCTCCTAGTACAGATACATCAGTTACTATGGAATTGATGCGTTATTTTGTTGTGCTCCAGAGCAGTTGAGTGTTTTAAATAATTAAAAAGCTTTACAGCTTTTCTGTTTATCCATCAATTTTTCATCAATGCTGGTCTCATCAGTAACAGTTATTTAATCGTATCAACAGCCAAGAATACAAAGATAGAAAATCCTGTATTGTAAAGTTTTGGAAAAAAATTTGTTTCTGATTTGAGCGGTTTTGTGAATGCGATATCATCATATGGACTTGGAGAAATATGTTTTGAATTTTCACTGCTATAAAAGGTTACAAGTATGGAGGACCAAAAGAGTCACTGAAAAAGAAAAACAGCCATTTCAAATTAAATCATACAATTAGTTATCCAATTTGAAAAGCCTTTTCTAATTGCACATTTTAAATAATAAATGTATGTAACATAACAGCAATGTTTTTGGTATGTGGGAGGAATCCAGGGTACCCAGAGAGAACCCACGCATGCACTGGGATAACATGCAAACTCCATGCATAAAGACACTGGGCTGGGAATCGAACTCAGAACCTTGTTGCTGCAAGGCCACAACACTACCCACTTGTTCACCGTACATCCCTTATAAACTATTATCTGCAATTTAAAAATTTACTTTCAAACCTTCTTTCTAAATGGATGTTTAAAAACCATAATTCTTATATTGAATTATAAATAACTCCCGTAATCAAACATTTAAAAATTTAATTCCCTATTCTGTTTCCATTTTCTTTTTCACCTTGCATTTTTCAAATCCTTTTTGCAGTTGCACTTCGCAGCATTCTTTTACTTTTGAACATTGTGAAACCAGTTAAACCAATTATTGTTGCTCCTCAGATGTAATCACCCCCCTCATTAGTTAGACTGCTGCACATGGTTCACAAAATGACCAACAAGAACGTTAAATATGAAATGTGTTGTCATTAGTTAATAAGGTTTTCTCAAAAATTTGAGAAAGTAAACAAGTTACTCCAACCTCTAGGGGGCAGTGTCCTGCAACTATATGATCCAAACCAATCCTAATTGAAATGGGCAATGTCAATTAAAGAATGCAATAGCAGCAACCCTGGTCCACTTTATATAAACAGGACTCTTAAAGCAAATGAAATAATGATATTTCATTGGAGTAATTACATTTTTGGATTACATGGAAAAAGAAAAACAGCCAAGAGAACATTTGTTTTTCTGTTTTTTATAATCTCATCTAAAGTTTCTGGAATAATATTTACATTGGATTTAATTTAGAGGTAACAGTGTAAAGAGGGGTTGATACAAACATATGTTGTGCTTAAATTACAAAAAATTAATCAAAATAAAAGAGCTAAAGTCTTAATAAAGTAGGAAAGTCAAGTGTACATCCAAATGAAAGTGCTCCATTACTTAAGCGTTCAGAAATGTATGTGCAAAATATTTTTGCATGAGGTTAAGTTTTTCTCCCAAACAGTAAATTATTTACTTTATGCTCTCTTCACTCCTGACATAAATTGACATAAAAATTATTAGAGAGGGATTAGTGTAATCTGACTGCGTCCACCTGATTTACAGGTGCTGGTCATAAAATTAGAATATCATGAAAAAGTAGATTGATTTCAGTAATTCCATTTAAAAAGTGAAACTTGTATATTATATTCATACATTACATACAAACTCATATATTTCAGATGTTTATTTTGTTTAATTTTGATGATTACAAATGACAACAAATGAAAATCTCAAATTCATCATATCAGAAAATTAGAATATTGTGAAAAGGTTCAAAATTGATGGCCCCTGGTGCCACACTCTAATCAGCTAATTAACTCAAACCACCTGCAAAAGCCTTTAAATGGTCTTTCAGTCTAGTTCTATAGGCTACACAATCATGGGGAAGACTGCTGACTTGACAGTTGTCCAAAAGACGACCATCGACACCTTGCACAAGGAGGGCAAGACACAAAAGGTCATCGCTAAAGAGGCTGGCTGTTCACAGAGCTCAGTGTCCAAGCACATTAATAGAGAGGCGAAGGGAAGGAAAAGATGTGGTCGAAAAAAGTGTACAAGCAAGAGAGATAACCGCACCCTGGAGAGGATTGTGAAACAAAACCCATTCAAAAATGTGGGGGAGATTCACAAAGAGTGGACTGCAGCTGGAGTGAGTGCTTCAAGAACCACCACACACAGACGTATGAAAGACATGGGTTTCTGCTGTCGCATTCCTTGTGTCAAGCCACTCTTGAACCACAGACAGCGTCAGAAGCGTCTTGCCTGGGCTAAAGAGAAACAGGACTGGACTGCTGGTGAGTGGTCCAAAGTCATGTTCTCTGATGAAAGTAAATTTTGCATTTCCTTTGGAAATCAAGGTCCCAGAGTCTGGAGGAAAAGAAGAGAGGCACTTCATCCACGTTGCTTGAAGTCCAGTGTAAAGTTTCCACAGTCAGTGATGGTTTGGGGTGCCATGTCATCTGCTGGTGTTGGTCCATTGTGTTTTCTGAGGTCCAGGGTCAACGCAGCCACATACCAGGAAGTTTTAGAGCACTTCATGCTTCCTGCAGCTGACCAACTTTTTGGAGATGCAGATTTCATTTTCCAACAGGACTTGGCACCTGCACACAGTGCCAAAGCTACCAGTACCTGGTTGAAGGACCATGGTATCCCTGTTCTTAATTGGCCAGCAAACTCTCCTGACCTTAACCCCATAGAAAATCTATGGGGTATTGTGAAGAAGAAGATGCAATACACCAGACCCAACAATTCAGAAGAGCTAAAAGCCACTATTAGAGCAACCTGGGCTATCATAACACCTGAGCAGTGCCACAGACTGATCGACTCCATGCCACGCCGCATTGCTGCAGTAATACAGGCCAAAGGAGGCCCAACTAAATACTGAGTGCTGTACATGCTCATACTTTTCATGTTCATACTTTTCAGTTGGCCAACATTTCTATAAATCCTTTGTTTTTATTGGTCTTCAGTAATATTCTAATTTTCTGATATGATGAATTTGAGATTTTCATTTGTTGTCATTTGTAATCATCAAAATTAAACAAAATAAACATCTGAAATATATGAGTTTGTATGTAATGTATGAATATAATATACAAGTTTCACTTTTTAAATGGAATTACTGAAATCAATCTACTTTTTCATGATATTCTAATTTTATGACCAGCACCTGTAGAGTATCAGATGGAATTTTATGGGGTCTGAAATTGATTTTAGCAGCTAAATGTACTACCGCCTCTGTCCAGCAGGTGTCAGCACATGGTAAGTTTTACTGACTCCCTGTATCCCTCTAAAGTTTCAGCTCCTTTTCACTTATAAGAAATGATAAGTGAAATGAATGATTCAGACATCCCCAAACTTTTTATTAAAATGTTTGAGCTTCCAATCCATTACTTTTTTTTTTTTGTAAATGTAGTTTCTTCTGGTTTATTCTTGTAACTTCTTTTTTTTCAGGATTAACGACATTAATCGTTTAAAACTTGAAGAAGAAACAAATCTTTTAGATGGTAGAAAAATAAAGCTGCAATCACCTGAGTGATTTGTGTAAAAAAAACTTAAAGAAATACTTTGTTTTTTTTTTATACAATCCATTTGATGTTATTATTTTGAAACAAAGTTTAGGCTTTTTATGACATTTTCTCTTTCACATCTTTTAGGTTTAGGTATAGTCAGCTTTTCCCAAAGTGTTAAGAAAGAATTTAACGAACCAAACTGTAACTTTTATTACAGGCAGCATTATGATTAATCCTTTAAATAACGTTAGGAATCTGCTGGAAAGCTGCAGATGTTGGGGTTTTATTTTTTAGCAAAACTCTTAAATCAAAGCAGTAATTTAAAAATCAACATTGCCAATATTCAGACATTATGGATGAATTTTGGTAAATAAGCAGATTTTTTTTAGATCATAAAAACATAAAGAAATGGTTTTACTCTTGTCAAGCAACCCAGTAACAAGGCCTTTATGTATTATCATTTGCCACCCAGTAACTCCAATATGTCACGTTATACACTGCAAAAACAATCTGCAATTAAGTAAAAAATTCTTAAATCAAGTGTATTTACCCTGAATTTGAGCAGGTAAATAAGATAGTTTGCCAATGGAATGAGTATTTTTACACTTAAAATACGTTAATTAGATAATATGCACTTGAAATAAGACAATGCGATTGATTTTTCTTATTTCAAATGTAAATTATCTTGTTCCATTGGCAAAGTGTTTCATTTATCTCCTCAAATCAGGATAAAATGCACTTATTTTAAGAAAAAAATGACTTATTTAGATTTACATTTTTTGCAGTGTACATAATGTATAAAGGACTTCTGTGTGTCCCACAGGCCGCCATGTGACTGCGGCGGAGGCTCTGCAGCTTGGAATAGTTGATGAGGTGACGGATCAAAATGCTGTCGATGCAGCTGTGAAGTTTGCTCAAAGCGTTGAAGGTAAGTTTCACAAAAAAAAAAGCATATTCAGAAGTATTTAATGAAGTGATAGAAAATAAAATAAACATTAACTCAGAAGAAGGAGGAGAAACTGTTATTTTAGGCGAGGCTGACATCAAGACGTGTCGACATGAAGCCTTTAGAGGGCAAAGCAGGCAGAAGACACGGCAGCCAGATCCTCCACCGACATGGTCCATAAATGTTGCATGGCCCTGTCAGATGGGATCTGATGTCTTCACTGCTTTTGCTGTATAATTCAGGAGGGCGAAAAGGGACAAACTTTCCTAGAATATTAATATTGGGGCCTTCTCCAGCCACTTAAGGGGGACCAGGAATCCCGCACGCACCTGAGTCAGACTCATTTACGCACAGAGTAGATTCCTGAAGTGTGCCGCGTCCCTAGAGTGTCGGAGGAGTGATCTCCCAGTCTGAGTGAAGAATGGCTCATTCATATCGGCTGAATAATTATTAAAGTGAAAAGCAAAGCCAGTGTTCTCAAATCAATTAAAAAATGAAAGAAGCTTAAAGAATAAAGAAAGAAAGTGATGTTTTAGGCTTTGGGGAGGCTTGGCTAGCATCCTGTGGCTACCTCATATCCGTCTGTCAAGTTAAAATGAACTTTGGCTTCATATTTAACATGCAGAAATAAGAAAGAGAGCAAAGAAGTGTGTCTACAGCTCCAGTGAACTGAAAACACCCCGCCCTCTCTGCTGTGTGTGTTGGAGTTTACTCAGGGGGGATATGTATTTTGCCTCAGCGGGGTCCTGCTTTATGGAGACCTTTTATTTTTCTGTGTGAAACAAACATGAGTCGGTGTATTTATGACTGCACTGTAGGCTTCACTGCACTACACTTTGTGTCAGAAATGTCGCAAAGTGACATATCCTCTTAGCTGTTTAAGAGTTTCTGAACCTTTACATTTTGTCCTGTGGGGTTTAAATCAGCTGAGAACCTGTTTGTCTCACTATTAAGCCTGTTGCTAAATGAATCTCTTTTTCCACCTGTGGGAAAATTTCAACTTTAAATCGGAGGATTTTAACAGATTTTTAATCGGAGTATTATAAAAGATAATGTCCTTCCTTCCTTCCTTCCTTCCTTCCTTCCTTCCTTCCTTCCTTCCTTCCTTCCTTCCTTCCTTCCTTCCTTCCTTCCTTCCTTCCTTCCTTCCTTCCTTCCTTCCTTCCTTCCTTCCTTCCTTCCTTCAAGGTACAGGAACTTTAGAGATTCTCATCTGAAAACTGGCAGATTGGACAGAACCTTGTAAGAAAGGGGTTTGTGTTTGTAAAGCTGAATCTTTGTTTTACCCAAATGCCTGAATTAACTACCAGACATGGAGTATTAGGACTGGAACTTTAGACTGTGGATGCATTTTGAGAAAATGCATGACCTCAGCATGCATACCAAGCTCCAATGTCTCCAAATGCACAGAAAAAACAAACAGTTTGTGCATGTAATTTATTACAGGCATAGCCGGAACAGATCTGAGTCTCTCACTGGTGACGAGATTAACTTTTTTTTTTTTTTTACCCAGCGGTTGCAACATCTGCCCGCTACATCTGTCGAGGGGCAGCCAGGATTCCCATCCTCTGCAAATCCACGGCTCAACCATTTACAGATTAACTGCAGCAATAATGCCTCCTAAAACACACTGAAACTGCATCAAGCTGCCACATATCTCCTCAGCGACATATAATTGTTTACAGAGAATTAAATATGTCTTCATGGATGTCCTTCATCTTCATTTCTCATGTTGTAAAACCCACTTTTTTTTTTTTTGAGAAATTAATTTCTCATTGGAGAAAGTGGATAAGATAAATCAAATATAGTTCCTGTAGCTTTAAGCTTCACAGTAGTGACCCAGTTTTAGACCCAGACCCTCATGTGAGAGTAATTCAGTGTAGCTGTGAAGGTTTCTGACTGGTGTCTCTTGTAATCACATCAGCGTAGTCAGGGTTGGGAATTAAGATGCTGTTAATGTGTTTTTTTTTTCGAGCGACCATTTTTTTTCACCTTGTTCCCAGCCTTTAAAATCACAGCATGCAGGATGGGTTGTCTTGTAAAGTGGTTGGATTGAACAGTAAACAATCCCTTACAGAAGGATTTACTCAGTGGTCTGAACATTACTGCATGCCACACTATTCATTTGTTTGAAAAAAATCCCCCAAAATTCCAATAATGCGCTACGGTGGGCTGTCCATCTAAAAATCTGGATAAAAGGTTTGTTTTCTGGAATATGAAAAAATGTCAAGTTCAAGGTGTTTGAACATTTTCCAAGCCACCATAGGGCTGGAAAGCAGACAAGTCGATGAACTTTGCAGGAGGGGGAACCTTTGGCTTTTTTGTTTCACTCAATGCTGCAGCGTTCAGGCAGTTCCTGCAATTATCTGGAAATGGCCTGTCAGATCAGCCTGCTCTCAGAGGCTGACTGAGTGGATGAGTGTGCCTGAAAAATGAATTATATCCACACTTCCTGAGTGCCAGTTGAAATTTTCAACAGAGTGGAAAGAAGGAAGCACTATGTAAAAAAAAAAAAAAAAAAAAAAAAAAAGGGAGCTTAAAAAAAAAGGGAGCTTAAAATTGCATATTGACATGACCAGAATCTAAGTTTAAGAATGTTTTTTTTTAATGAATTTCTGCTTTTCACTAGATGTAATGTATTTGAGGCAACTTCTTCCTCATATATTTTCCAGGTAAATCTCTGGATGCCCGTCGAATCGGTACGTTTCCATGCCCACGCCCCCCTGATTTGGATGCAGTCTTTGAAAAAGTGATGAAAGAGGTGCGGCGGAGCGCCCGCGGAGCCATAGCACCTGTTACCTGTGTCCAGGCAGTTCACGCTGCTGTCACTCTGCCCTACGCTAAGGGGATGGAGCGAGAGAGGGAGCTATTTTCCACACTCTTCACCTCAGGCCAGGCCCGTGCTCTGCAGTACTACTTCTTTGCCCAGAGAGCTGTCAGCAGGTGGAGCACGCCCAGTGGTGCCCGCTGGGACACCAGCAAGCCCAGGCCTGTCCGTAAAGCCGCTGTTATCGGTGAGAGTTTAAGGCTTTTAATTTGCGCTCAGCTTTCAATTAGCACAGGCACACCGAGTCTTCAGGCTATCTGTGTGGCATCTCCAAAGTCCTGTTGCCCATGGAAACTAAGCCCTCATTAACAGTTCATCCAAGTTTGGTAAATGGACTCGCTCTTTCCTGCAGGGAGGATGGGCTGCAAAACATTTTGGATATGCAAGGCTCAGCAGCTTGTGCATTGAAACTGCAAGCTCTAAAAAACGATTGAATATGCCAAAAATGATTTCTGAGAACACTCTGACAACACTACGCTGTCATGAAAGCGTAGTGTGGGGGGCAAGGATTCCTGTGCAGTCTGAAAATAATATTTGTTATTTAAGTAGTGAACAAGTCTGGATGGGTATAGAAAAACGTTTGGACAAACTGCTCAAAAAATAGAAACTATCCAAAAAGTTCAGAATTTTTTTCCTCGTTTCATAAAGGAAAGTTAATTGATTCTTTTGATTCAATTGACAGAGGGAAATATTTCAGGCCTTTATACTTAAATTTTTTATGTTTATAGTTTATACATAATGAAAACCCAAATTTAGTTTGGTAGCACTGGCTGCATTTTTTTCCTTGTGCTCAGCTTTCTATGAATGCACTTTATTCTTTTTACAAAATCCAAATTTTTCAGAGGCACATTTGATTTTTTCCTCTTATTACACAAGGAAGACGTAAAAAAATGAAACCCTGTCATTAATTTAATTTATCAATTAAAGTTTTAACAGATCAATTTGTGTACCAAATATGAATTATATTTAAATGGTGGATTTCTTTCCTCTCAGGGCTTGGCACCATGGGACGAGGTATAAGTGTGTCCCTGGCTCAGGCAGGGTTCTCTGTGGTTGCCGTGGAAACCCAGGAGAAGCAGCTGTTGGAGGCCAAGCAGGCAGTATCTGGCATGTTGGAGCGTGACGCCAAGAGGCGAGGGGCGCCCCTGGCACACGGTAATATCAAATACAGCTGCAGCCTTAAGGCTGCAGCAGATGTTGACCTCGTCATCGAAGCTGTGTTTGAGGACATGGCTCTGAAGAAAGCCATTTTTAGGCAGCTGTCGGCCATATGCAAACCAGGAACATTTCTGTGCTCAAACACCTCCGCGCTGGACATAGACGAGCTGGCTTCTCAAACCCAGAGCCCAGAGCTGGTGGTTGGGATGCATTTCTTCGCTCCGGCTCATGTCATGAAGCTGCTGGAGGTGGTGTATGGGCCACGTTCCTCTCCTGAAGCTGTGGCCACGGCCATGCAGATGGGGAAGAAAATAGGAAAAGTGAGTGTTGCAGTTGGAAACTGTCGGGGCTTTGTAGGGAACCGAATGCTGAAGCCTTATTTGGAGCAAGCTTTCTTCTTGTTGGAAGAAGGAGCCACACCTGAGCAGGTGGATCAGGTGTTGGAAGAGTTTGGGTTTCCTATGGGTGTATTCAAGGTGTCTGACCTCTCTGGGTTGGATGTTGGGTGGAAAATCAGGAAAGCAGATGGTTTAGTTGTGCCTGACTCTACAGGAAAGTCTGCTAGAATCCAGGGAGGCAGGAGGTACAGTCCTTTGGGAGACCTGCTCTGTGAGCAGGGAAGGTTTGGTCAGAAAACGGGCAGAGGGTGGTATCAGTACGACAAACCTGGTGGTCGTGTGGCTAAATCCGACCCTTGGCTGCACAGATTTCTGGAGGAGTACAGAGCCCGGCATGGCTTGGTAGCACGCCGCATAGATCAGCAGGAAGTGCTGGAGCGCTGCCTCTATGCCTTGATTAATGAGGGCTTCCAAATTCTCCAGGATGGAATAGCTGCAGGACCTGAAGACATCGATGTCATCTATGTGCTTGGGTATGGCTGGCCCCGCCACCGCGGGGGTCCCATGTTCTTCGCTGACATGGTGGGCCTGGACAAAGTTTTGGACAGGCTGGAACGCTACCACCAGCTGCACCCTGATGTTCCAGGCCTGAAGCCCTGCAGCCTGCTCAGAAAGCTGGCTGCCGGCGGCTGCCCACCGATCCACAGATGGAGGGAGGTCATCCAGAAACCCCACAGCCAGCTTTAAACTTCAGCTCACCTACAATGTGTGAGCTAATTCCTCTAATCAGAAATGCTAATTAACCAAATGATTGTAAATCTACTTTGCATTTAGCTTTAAGAAACTGCATTAAACTAAATCATATTACGTAAATTATTTTCATCATGTTTGTAAATGTAAGGGTAGCAACTGTTGAAAGAGGGCATTCTATACTTGTAAAAGCCAATTTTTTGTTGCAATTAATGTTTAATAGCTTAATGCCATTTTAATATCATACAAAGCTTGCTTGTATTTAGTAATACGATTTCATTTATAAAAGGGAAAACACTCTTCAAAACAACCAGTCTCTAAGTGTAATTTGCTTTTTTTTTAAATTATTTTAAGAACACACAGTCGCAACTCATGCAGAATTACATCCCAACTTTGTCTAGGCCGTTGAAACCTTCATTTTGTTGTTTTTCATACCTGTCCTCCACTATATACAAAATCGGCCTTAACTTAAAGACATGAATTGGTCGACCATTTACAGCAAAGATTTCTGGTGGAGAGAGAAATTCACAGTTTGATTGAAATACGGCAAATTGTCCTCAGCCTCATGAAGGAAGTAGACTCAGAAAACCAAACCTCCAACAAATTAAGTATATGTATGATTCTTTAATGTGTTTTTTGTACCTTTCTGCTGTTCAGCCTGTACTGGGTCATTTAGCTCATTTAGTAATCCATTCCAGTTGTGTAGATGTGATTAACTTTGATTGTCTTTTCTAAAATTACTTTCGATTGCACCATGATGTCTTCCATGGAAATTATTAAAACTCGATGCTCGCTTTGTTTAAGCTGCACTCATATTTAACAAATAAATAGGTGTATTTTGTGCACAGTAGGACTAGATTTGATAAAATGTATAAACGTCATAGATAATCTTGCAGATATTTGATCTTGATCAGGTTTGCAATATCAGAATAAGAGCTTAATATATGCTTTACTTTGATTTGAAAACCTGATGAACCCTTTAGAAAAAAAAAAGATCTGGAATGCGGTACTTATTGCAGTTCTGACTGCAAGAACAAACAAAAAAAAAAGCTGAAAACAATTTAGTTTGTGAAATTCCCAGTGGTTTTACAGCAGGGTGTTTAGATGTGGATTGCTTGTCATTTATATGGAAGGTGACAGTAATGGGAGTGAATTGTTGAGGCTTTAAAACTTATAGCTGCAGCCTCTGCAGAAATATTGAGAAATCTTTTAAATGGAAGACTACAGGAGAGACGGTTCTCCTCTGCCGTTTGGAATTATTCTGAGTTTTTTTTTATGCTCATTTAAAATCTGTTAAACATATAGGACTTTTTTAATTATTTTTTTTAATCTAATCATTTATAAATATCGGCCAAATGAAAGCCGAATCGTCAGTTTAATGTATTAATGACATGTTTGACACCATCAAACTCTACATTTGATTTTGGTTGAAATGATTTTTATTTCATTCAGAAATTACATGATCAAACCAAAGACGGCGTTGAATCCTTATACAAACATATACAAAAACATACAAATGGGAAAAGACTTAGATTTCTTATTATTAAAGGCATTTCTACACTAAAACACTCAGAAAAACATTATGTATATGAATGGGGATTTCATTGCTGTGCTATAGATGCCTTGTAAGTCCGGACGATAGGTTTACATAGCCAGTTTTCATCTTTTGCCAGAATTTAATTTTTGTAATATACTTGAAGTTCAAAGCTATGCATCAAGGTACATGGAAGTGGAAATTTGTACTAATAAAATGTGAAAGTATGCTGTAAATACTCATCATGCTGGAAGTTGAAATTTAATGTAATGCATCTAACAGGTTTTCTTTCCAGACTGTACTGTTTTTACTCTCCTCCATCCTCCCATTAAGTATATTCAAGCTTCCCTATTAAGTGAGGTATTTGTTTTATGTTTTGATCAGAGGACCCTCTTCCAACTGTTTTCTGTCTCTATTTTGCTTGTAACAACTTTAAAAATGATTTAATCTAGTTGGTCTTTTATCAAACGCCAGATATGTGGAGTGTCGGAGCAATCGCCATCCTGTGAACCGATTCTTTTAATTGAGCTTCAGATCTTTGGAGCTCCCCCAGAGCTAACATGGCCGTTTTGTTTGCTTAAATGATTAATATAACCTATCAACTTGTTTGACGTGCTGAAACAAGTCTCTCTTTTAAATGAGATCCTGGATCTGAGATAGCCTGCATATATAAAGGTGAAATCAAAAATAAAAACAGCACCATGAAGAAAACTTAGTTTATTGTTTTATAATCTAATGTTTTCTGAGGTTTTCAGAAAAAAAGCAGATTTTAAAAATAAAGCAAGTGGATGCTAAAAGATGAATATTAAGGGGTGTGTGTGAAAAGGGGGTTTAAACATACTTGCTTATGAGGGTTGTTATAAATAAAATCACTGATATTTCCTTTGCATCTTATAGTTATTTTTCTTCTTTGTGTCCGTCTGTCATGAAATTCCCAGAAAAAACACAGTTTTTGGTTGTAAATTTACATTTTTTTGTTATTAATTTCTACTTGTGATGTATTTTGTAAACACGATTATGCCAGATCCTCGAATTAAACACATATTCTGTGTATTTCTTTGTTATGTGAAATGTTTTGAGTTTTTTTTTTGTCAGATTCTTTCCATCTTAAAGGAATAGTACACCCAAAACATGATTAGCCTTCATTTTCTACTCACCTCCATGCTGAACAACACTCTGGAGTACTTTTTTGATATCTCAAATGCATCTGGAGATCTGGGAGGCTTCTTGCTGTCTGCTGACATTCAAATAATGGAGGTCCATGGCGCCCGAGACAGAAAGGTCCATAAAAGTCCACAAAAAACGTGTCAATATTCCTCCATACTGCTCGTCCAATGTAATCCAAGTGTCCTGAGTGGGTAGCATCCAGAATTTACTCGAAACGAAGTCATTTAGAATGTTTTTAGAGCATAAACAGTAGTGTATAGGATTTCCTAATAGCGCCCCCATGCGCGCTCACGATTCTACGGAAGCCGGCAGACCAAACCGGAAGAAAGTGCGCATTCAGCGTCTGGTCTGCCGATAATGCAAGCGTAGAAGAAGAAATGTGCTGTTTACCTGTGCAAAGAAAGAAACAACGAAAGAAAAATGTCTGAGGACTTCAGTGTTGAGGAAGAGCATGAGTTCTTTGCCGAGCTGAATGCGCTGGTTTGGTCTGCCGGCTTCCGTAGAATCGTGAGCGCGCATAAGGGCGCTATTAGGAAATCCTATACACTACTGTTTAGGCTCTAAAACGTTCTAAATGACTTCGTTTCGAGTAAATTCTGGATGCTACCCACTCAGGACACTTGGATTACATTGGACGAGCAGTATGGAGGAATATTGACAAGTTTTTGTGGACTTTTGTGGACCTTTCTGTCTCGGGCGCCATAGACCTCCATTATTTGAATGTCAGCAGACAGCAAGAAGCCTCCCAGATCTCCAGATGCATTTGAGATATCAAAAAAGTACTCCAGAGTTTTGTTCAGCATTGGGGTGAGTAGAAAATGAAGGCTAATCATGTTTTGGGTGTACTATTCCTTTAATGGATGTTTATTATGTTAAGAAAAAAAATGAAGCTCGTTTCTAGTTTCACTTGGTTCGTTTTCTGCTTGGCCTGCTTCATCAGAGCAGAACAGAGGGAGACTCAGAGCTTTAAAGTGGTTTAGCATAAATCAATGGCTCATTTCAGGTAAATCTCAGTCTGACTTCCAGTCAGCTGCAGCTGCGTGAAGCTGACACCCCACCCACGTCAAAAAACTCTGCAAATAGACTGAATGGTTAGTGCAACGTTAGTGCAGATTTGTGCAGAAAAAAATATCGTTTGTGCTACTTTTGTTTAAGAGATATTAAAGATTATTTTTTAGGTCATCCAGAGGTCACCATCCCCCCATTAAACTCCAATTTGAACCAAAGTGGTCTCGTTTTTTAGTGCTTCGTTTGTGCTGATTTGTGCAGTTAAAACGGTCATTTGTGCTATTTTACTTTTAAAGATATAATCATTTTAATTTTTGGCTGATGACGTCACCATCCCCCCATCAAGCTCCGATTTGATCCAAAGTGGTCTCATTTTTTAGTGCTTCGTTTGTGCTGATTTGTGCAGTTAAAACAAACATTTGTGCTGCTTTACTTTTTAAGATATAATCATTTTAATTTTTTGGCTGATGACGTCACCATCCCCCCATCAAGCTCCGATTTGATCCAAAGTGGTCTCATTTTTTAGTGCTTCGTTTGTGCTGATTTGTGCAGTTAAAACGGTCATTTGTGCTGCTTTACTTTTTAAGATATAATTATTTTAATTTTTTTGGCTGATGACATCACCATCCCCCCATCAAGCTCCGATTTGATCCAAAGTGGTCTCATTTTTTAGTGCTTCGTTTGTGCTGATTTGTGCAGTTAAAACCGACATTTGTGCTGCTTTACTTTTTAAGATATAATTATTTTAATTTTTTTGGCTGATGACATCACCATCCCCCCATCAAGCTCCGATTTGATCCAAAGTGGTCTCATTTTTTAGTGCTTCGTTTGTGCTGATTTGTGCAGTTAAAACGGTCATTTGTGCTGCTTTACTTTTTAAGATATAATTATTTTAATTTTTTTGGCTGATGACATCACCATCCCCCCATCAAGCTCCGATTTGATCCAAAGTGGTCTCATTTTTTAGTGCTTCGTTTGTGCTGATTTGTGCAGTTAAAACGGTCATTTGTGCTGCTTTACTTTTTAAGATATAATTATTTTAATTTTTTTGGCTGATGACATCACCATCCCCCCATCAAGCTCCGATTTGATCCAAAGTGGTCTCATTTTTTAGTGCTTCGTTTGTGCTGATTTGTGCAGTTAAAACAAACATTTGTGCTGCTTTACTTTTTAAGATATAATAAATTAAAATTTAGGCCGGTGACGTCACCACCCCCCTATTAGAGAGCTGCGGAAGTGAACAAGTCAGCAGCAAAGCAAAGGAGTCTCGTCTAAGTTAGTTTGAGTCACCTATGCATGTCAGTGGATGTTTCAAGTGTGTAACTGATGACATGTAAGTTTATTATGCCTTGTGTGTTGTAAAATTTCCTTATATAACCTCTGTTTAACTGTGTTGTTTTGTAGCTGCAGCTTTAGTTTTGTAGCTGCAGCTTTAGTAGTACTAACTAACTGTTTATACTCAATGTTGTTCATTTTTTGGCACAATAAATCTTGCTGCAATCAATCTTTATTAGGGAATACAAAACAATATAAAACACATTTTACAATAACAGCTAAAACAACTTGCAATATAAAACAAATATATGAAATTAACTGCTTTCTTGAGAACAGTGGTTAGACCAAACGGTGCATCTGGCCACATCTTCTTCCACCAAGGCGTTCTGACAGCGGACCACAACTGCTGTTGTTGAATAACTACTTTCCTTTCCAGCATGGGGCAACCAAGCCACTGTATAAAATAAGTATTCTTATAACAGTGGAAAGTACAAAAAATAATAATAATAAAATAACAATAAAAACACGTTTCCCTAGAGATCTTTGCCAATTAGCATGAATATATAAATAATCTAATAAGAAGGGGACAAACAGGCTCGGTAATCTTCATAATAAAGACACTGATTTATCAGTAGAAACATTTTAAAAAGACTTCCCTTCTTTCCAGTGTTGGCAGTGAGATATAATTTACTTTTGTCCCAGACTAAATTACTGACAAGAATTTACAGGATAAAAAGCGGCCTGAAACAAAAACAGCAGTTGTAGATGTGTAATAAATGTAGTCGGTTGTGATCATCACCTGCAAGTATAGAGAATATAGTTTGAATCGGACATGCAAGCAGCACAAATGTCGGTTTTAACTGCACAAATCAGCACAAATGAAGCACTAAAAAATGAGACCACTTTGGATCAAATCGGAGCTTGATGGGGGGATGGTGATGTCATCAGCCAAAAAAATTAAAATGATTATATCTTAAAAAGTAAAGCAGCACAAATGTCGGTTTTAACTGCACAAATCAGCACAAACGAAGCACTAAAAAATGAGACCACTTTG